CCCTGCGTATCTCATTAACAGGATGCCCAGCCACGAGGTGAGCCCTGAGCAGATGAGGGGGTGGTTGGCAGGGCAGGTCCCCACTTGCAGTGTTTGCTGCCTTGAAAATGATAGGCTCGCATGCGGCATGGGGTGAGCCATTAAGTGCCTGTTCTTCAGCAACGTTCTTGTACTAAGTGAAGACTTGAGATTGGACAGTGCATACTCAACCACAGACTTCTGAGATTCAGGAGAACCTGGATGTGAGTTGGTTTTGCACTGTGTGAAACACATGGTCTACCAGCAGACACCAATTGCACGCAGTCTCAGCAGTGCTCCAGGGCAGGCAGCTCTGCACCTCTTTGCTTTCCAGTCTTGCATGAACCTCAAGTAATGTCAGCTCTTGCTCCACTGTCCTGAGTGGCCTTTAGTTGGGAAGGGATAGCACGGATGGGCTTAGCAAGTATCAGAATAAGTACAGAGGAGGCAAAGCAAGGAGACGGACCATAATGAGCAGTGCTTCAAGATGACTGAAATGTACTGTCTTGGTGGCTTGGTGGTATTATACTTAACAGACTGTCTATTTCCACAGGCGAGAAACTACATTCAATCTTTATCTTACATGCCGAAAATGAACTTTGAAAATGTGTTTATTGGTGCCAATCCATTAGGTAAGGCTTGACTCCTAAATGGGCTCTTCCCAAAGCTGACCTTGGCACGTGTTGGCAGGCCAAGACTTTTCCTAAAGTTGCGGCAGTTGTTCAGAACAGAGATGCACACATTTTTCAAAGTTGACACAGTATGTATGGACTGTGAGGTGTGAGGGAAGAGACTGTGGGTAGTGGGGTGGCTCCAGAGAAATTAGAGTTTCCTCGTGTACCTTGCACTTTTACAAACTTGCATTTCAGAATGTGTCACACAGCTCGCTATGTAAGATTCTTTCTTTTTTCTTGGTGTTTTTTCAGCTGTGGACTTGCTAGAGAAGATGTTGGTACTGGATACAGACAAACGAATTACTGCAGCAGAAGCGTTGGCTCACGCCTACTTTGCTCAGTATCACGACCCAGATGACGAACCAGTGGCAGACCCCTACGACCAGTCCTTTGAAAGCAGAGAGCTTGAGATTGAGGAATGGAAAAGTGAGTCTGGGGAGCAGGAGAGAGCCAACCTGATCTCTTTGCGGTCCGTTCCACGAGTTGCAGTTTGATTAAGCCATGGTAGTTACAGGCACAAAGGCTCTTTGAAAGGGTAGATAACAGCAGGACAAGGGGAAATGGTTTTAAGTTGAGAGAGGGAAGATTTAGGTTGGATATCAGGGGGAAGCTCTTTGCAGAGAGAGTGGTGAGGTGCTGGAACAGCTGCCCAGAGAGGCTGTGGATGCCCTGTCCCTGAGGTGTTCAAGGCCAGGCTGGATGGAGCCCCGGGCAGCCTGGTCTGGTATGAAATGGGGAGGTTGGTGGCCCTGCATGTGGCAGGGGGTTGGAGATTCGTGATCCTTGAGGTCCCTTCCAACCCTGGCCATTCTGTGATTCTGTATATGGAGTGAATCTGTCAACAACTGTGCACATAAGTAGTATAGCCCTTGGTAACTCCTACTGTATGCATGCAAGCACATAGGGTGGCACGGGTTGCTTACATGTTTTTCAAATGTATTTACACATTAGTGCTCTGGAAGTATCTTATTGTGCCTGTTAGTCTCTGAGACGGTTTATCCATTATTTGAGGTTGTTCAGGTTTTGTGCACGAGGGATGTCATTAGTAGTTTCTTAAGTTTCTGACACTTTTCCCACCAGGCCTGACTTACGATGAAGTAATCAGCTTTGTGCCACCGCCACTTGACCAAGAGGAGATGGAGTCCTGAGAAACTGCTCTCTTCTCTTTGTCCCACTTCACTGTGAGGGGAAGGCCTTTTTGTAGGGACTCTCCAACTATCATTCAAGTGCCTCGCCACAACAATATTCTCCTTGGTGGAAGGGTTTTGTGTGTGTTGAACTGGGGAGGGTGGGGGGAGGGAGGAAAGCTGAGTCTATGTAAACATGCTGCATGCTCTCTTGTGTTCTGTGTATGGCCTGGAGCAAGTCTCTGAAGACCTGTTCTGACTGCTCTTTAGTCCTTCCACAGGAAGCTTCAGCTGGTTTGTGCTGCTGGGGTGAGGAGGGGAAGGTGACATTCAAAGTTTGGTTACAGTTGTTGCCATTTACCAGTTGTTCTACAACTAACCTCAAAATAAGGAAAGTTGGTTCATAGCCTTAGAGAGCCCTCTGTTTTCTTTGGGAGTGAATGTAGGGTTGAGGGATGTCCTTCTTCCATGCTACGGTGACTGATTCACATCCAGATCTTCCTGGTGCAGGAGAACGTACAGGTTTTCTGACAAATGTCTGATTCTTGGAACGTGAAAAGATTTTGTATGAAACTGTAAATATGTTTGTGCCTTAAATGAATGGGGAAAGAGGGGGAAGGAAGTCTGGAGTGGAAGTGTCTGGCCCTGCTGTTTTTCAGGGTGAAGGCTCCCAGACAGCCAGGCATGAACTCTGTGTGTTCAGGAAACAACTTTCCGAGGCAACAGCCTCTCCTTGGATTGGTATTCCATATTTTTCTCCCTCTTTCCCTCCTCTAGTTGTGCAGTTTGTCAGCATTAGCTCCCAGGAGATGGAGGCTGGAGAAGATTCTTGCTAGCCACGTTTGCGTATCTTGTTCCTTAAAAGGTGGGGTGTTCTTGCATGTCATAGCTGTATGCGCATGTAGAGCAGCTTGGTGTTTGTTGTTACGCTGTGGGGGTGGCACTGGGGCAGTTAAATCATCAGTGAACTGTTCACTGAGTACCTCAGCCAGTGCCACAGAATCACAGCATCCTTCCTCTTGTGCTGCAGCTCAGCGTGAAATATCTGCCAGTGTGGAGACTGTTGAGAAAAGGGTAAAACATAAAGCATAGAAATGCACATTGTCCTTTGTTCTGATCTGGCTTGAGGAGAGATTGGGATGGAGGGCTTCTTGTGAAATCAAGTGTAAAAAACGTTCTTTGAAGAAACAACTGTGGCATCTTGTGCCAGAATTTATTTCCTGAAATTTTTTTTCTAAAGATGTTGGAATCCAAAGCAAAGAAATAAGCATGCATAAAAACACAATCTCCCTGTCGCTGTCTATATAGGTATTTATATAATATAAAACTAACATTTACTAGAGGATCTTTTTTACCCTCACAGATAAGAGCTTCTTGGCTGCTTGTTAGCAGGTGGAGCTCTGCTTGAGGAAATGGGAGAAGGGAGTATGTTTGGATACAAACGTGACAAAAATACTGGTATTTTCCAGGACTCTACATGAACTTCATGCCCAGTTAGCTACTGGCAGGAGGGGCTCTTTCTGTGCTTTTTTCTGTGCTACAACTATGCTGTGGATCTCAGGAGCCTGATTGTAGGATTTGGGGAGGAGACTTTTTAGACATTTATCTGTTGCAGGCGTCCTGTACACGCGACATAGCAGCTGTGTGAGTGAGGAGAAGGGCTTTTGCAGTATTTTGCATTCTTGTTACCTACGGGGTGGAGAGGAACTGTTTGTAGTATTTTTACCACGTGTCTGAAGAGGTGGCACAAAGGGATGGGACACAAAAGATGAAGCCATTGATTCTTGCTAGGCTACTTTCCAGTGATCTCTTCAGGTCAACGTTTTACAAAGTCTGGGGTGAGATGAACAGGCGCTTTGTGCTCTGTGATAACGCTCTCTTCAGACCAACAAACTAGAGATAAAACCTCCCTGCTGGGCAAGCAGTCCAGATATTCAAATGAAAAAATGTAGATAGACTCTGTAAACCTACAGCAGGATTATTTTTATCAGCCATTTTACGTGTAGATGCTACAGTGTGATTCCATGTGGAAATACTGCTAAAGATTTTTAAAATACAGACGCTGTGTGTGTGTGCGTGCGAGTGGGAAGGTTCCATTCACAGCCCTGCTCTGAGGGAGCCGCGTGGCGCTCCTGCGTGCAGCGCAGTGCTGCTGGGCCGCCTGCAGTCTGAACAGGAGGATGCACTTCAAAGAAGAGATCTGCTATTTCGTTTCTATCCATGAGTTGTGTTGTAATTGGTTATGCTGGATAAGATGTCACAATACCACTGGTTAAAAATAAAACCTATTTTTCAGACTTACTGTGCTGATGGTTCTTCTAACCCCTGAACAAACGGTTTTGGAGTGAGATGAATTCCTCCCTCATTGTACAGAATCCTGTGTGGTGGAGGGGTGGGTAATGCTGCTCAACTGCAAGCATGGTGCTCGTGTCCATGGGCCCCGCACGTGGCTTCCGTAGTACAGACTAGCCTGGAGTCTGCATGACTACTGGACAGTAAAAGTACGTGTAGTTTTTGTTTAGCTTAGGGAAGCTGTTGTTTTGTTTTTAATTCAACGCAATAAATGAGAGTTCTGTGACTTGCCTGGACCTGGGACTTCTCACTGGTTGTAGATGTCTGCCATGTAGAAATGAGTGGGTTTGTTTCTGTCTTCAGCTGTCATCCAGTTGGTAGAGAGAGCAGGAGTGTTGTGACTCGCCTCAGTGGGGATTTTCTGACTGCTGTTGTGTGCCAGCATGACTCAATCAGAAGGACAATTAGAGGAATAATTGGATAAAGCTGTGTTCATCACACCAACAAAAGCCTCAGTGCTGCAGTGCTGGCTGTGATAGAGCAGCGCAGTCGGTGCTGATCCGAGTCAGGTAACTGCTACTGTACTCTCTGTTTTCCTCTGCAGTGCTGCACAGAGGTTGGGTTGAAGAGGCACAAAGAAAAGGGTGCTTGCTGTGGTGCAAATGGAGAGGAAAGAGGATAAATAAATAAATCCTAGATGGGGTTTGTCACTTCTTCTAGGGAGAAAAATCCCAAATCCTCAAAATTCCGGAGTTGTGTTTGGTTACAATATACGTTGATTAGCAAAAGACATTAAATTCAGTGAGAAGTGAATTAGGGAAAAGTGACTTAGACCAATTTAAAGAAAATAGGAAGCCTTAAATTAACTCATCTAACTACAGCTTTGCCCCAGATACTCAGAACTCCTGAACCATGTGTCGACAGCTGTGTGTATGCAGTTGAGCAACACTTCTCCATGCTCATGAGGTGACAGATGAGTTACATTTGCTCCTGTCCCAACAGTTCTGGCTGAAACTCCTCTTGCTCACTGGTGTATTTATAGAACCCAGCCCATTCTGCTTTGTCTCCTTACTATGCTGTTGCTAGAGCCGGGGTTTGTTTGCATGTGTGTGTATAAGCAATGTTAAAATGCTGCCAGTAACGCAGAGCCTGACTTGTTTTATAGAACTGCAGGCCTTACCACTGCTATCTGGAGAACGCGCGTGCCAATTCTAAAACGTGTTGCAGTGGTTGCTTGTAAGCAGGTAAAATGAATCCTCCCTAAAACTGTAGTAGTGTGTTTCCCTAAGTCCCATTCGTCAGGCAGGGGATGGAGCAGAGCTGAGTGGTGGCAGAGCGTGTCTCCTCAGGCGTAGCTTAGTCACTTCCTCTGGAGGGAGGGTGCGCCCTCAGAGCTCTGCTGTAGTCGAAGCAGAGTGCTGAGCCTCTGCTCAGCAGGGTGGGTTGGGTGCTGAGCGATGGGACTGCTGCAGAAACAAGGCTGGACCCTCCTGACCTCAGTACCTGCAGCTCCCAGGGTGGTCCCATCTCGGAGCAACTCCTGAGCGTCTCACTGCAGTCACGTGGATGAAGTGAAGCTCAGGCAGCCTTCTCTGCGCCCGTCTGCTGGGAAACCACGGAGGAAATCCCCGCTGTTCCCTTGCTCTTCCGTGAATTTAATGCCCTGGACTCTGTCCTGGAGCTCTCCTCCCCTGCGGCGCTGACTCGGTGCTGTGGCACGGTAACCTGTCCTCTACGCCAGGCATGACCTCGGATTCCTGATGCACCCTTACTCACTCCACTGGCAATCTCATGAGACGCCCGTGAGCCCCATATGGCACTTCTGGGGGTGGCAGCCGTTCTGTCCTCGAAGTCCCACCTGCGGCTGCAGGTGCGTCTGCGTCGGGCGCCTATTGGAGCACCCAGAAATACCTGCACACGGCTGAGGCGTGTCTGGAAACCTGATGCCTCATCTCCGCCATGTGGAGGCGGAGGGAGGAGGGCTGTGAGACATGTCCCTTCTCGCTCACAACAGCTGAAAGCAGAGAAGGCAACTCGCTACAGGCCTTCTCAGCAGTGCAGGGCGCCCCGGTCGCATCCCAGGGGCACCACCAGACGCTGGGACTCTGGGTGGGTGGCAGTCCCGCAGCCGCCGGGCGATGAACATCGCAAGGAGAAGAGGCTTTTACAGACAGGAGCTGAACAGAACCGTCTGGGAGCTGCCCAGGAGGTACATCTCCCTGCACCCCGTGGGCTCTGGGGCCTACGGTTCTGTCTGGTGAGTGGGGCTCAGGGGGAGCCATGAGGGCGGGGGGTGAGAGGTGCCTCAGCACCCCCGATGAAGGGACTCTGCGTGTGTGATGGAAGCGGTTCGTCTTCTGCTCGGTCACCGCGAAGGGTTGCTTTAAAAACGATCCTGTGCCTCCTGCGGTCAACCTGACAGGCAATGGGGAGAGTCGTGTGTGGCTCAGCCCTGTGGGTGTCCTGCAGGCAGGGATGGCCTCAGATCTGAGAGGGACCTCTCAGGGTAAGGGACTGATCTGGTTGGCAGGAAGAGGGAAAGACCTGAATATCTGAGAGCTGAAGAGTTGGGCCCTGCTGCAACAAAGCAGTGGGCAGAGCTACAGCAGCTGATGCTGTGTCGTGGGGGAATGGAGCTGGGTGGCACAGCCACAGTGCTGCTTCCAGCTCCCTGTTGTAAGGCAGCAGCTGACCGGAACTTCCTGGCTGGTGGCAAATCCCGGCTGACAAGGGAGCAGCAGAGCTGCTGTTAATTAGTTACTTGGACAAAGGTACCCACAGTGAAAGCGAGCAGAAAGGTCGGATCTCATTTTGTTTACGCTGGTGAGTTGAGGAGGCTGGTGACTTTTAGCAAGGGCAAATCTGAAGCAGCCCATTGTCAGTAGCCAAACAGAACCTCACTGCATATTAGGGTAAAAAGGAAAAGGAATGGAGCGTGTCCTCTTTCCTGGATGTTGGGCTAAGCACCTCTTGCTGTCCCAGAGGAATCCCCAGACTGTCTGGCTGAAGTTGGGGCTCTGTCAGTGCACTGCAGGATGCAAATGGGGACCAGAGGTTTCCTTCCCCACTTTTCTGCTTATGTGCAAGGCTGGGTCCTGAAATACCTTCTGAACCCAGTAACACTTAACTTGATATTTTGCTGTGCAGTTGGGATTTGCTGTCCTCTGCTGGGAATCACTGGGAAGCTATCGCAGCACTATTTGGAGCTGACAGCTTTTGCACATCTTTGAACAACAAATAAGGGCTGAGAAACAAATTCTGGGAGGCCAGCATGGGCTTGTTTCTTTCCCCGTTAATTCTGCAGTGATTCAGTAACTGGGGAAGTTTTCTGATGCCCCTAGCCCTGTCCCTTGGGTGCAATGTGCCACAATTACCCATGGAACCTTCATGGTACACTCGTGACCTCACCTCGAGGTCGGCCTTGGTGTCATCCTGAGCTTCCAGCTGCTCCTTAATCTCTGCTGGGAAGAACGCCGTGGGCTCTCCTGGCTGCGGCAGCAGAGTTTCCTCTGGGCTGTGCCTTATGGCAAAGGCAAAAGTAGCTCCATTTGTGCTGGGTGGAATGAAGCTCCAGCTCCTGCGTGGAGTGGTGGGGCTGGATGTGTGCTCTGCAGGCCAGACGCTGGGAAGGCAGTAAGAGGTGGCACTTGGAGGTTGGGAAATCTGCCCTGAATTCTGTGTTTGACTGAGTGGTGCCGGATCCTTCCTCTTTGTTCCTTCACGGCTTGGAGAACTGTGCTGCCCTTCTGCCAGCAGCTGCTAAAGGTCTAATGGAACTGAGACAAAATTTTCCATTCCTCTCGAGATGTTCTTCAGTGTCACTTTCAGTGCTTTCACAGCCTGGTGTGGCTCCCTTTGCCTTTTCTAGCTGAATACATTACAAAAACGCAGTCGCACCGAAGCTCTCAAAGGATGTCTGCTCTCATCAGTGATAGCTCAGAGCAACCATAAGGGACCTCAGTAGCCATGAGGGCGAAGATCGATTGCTTGATGGCATCAGGGATATCTGTTCACTCAGTGAGAGCTGCTGGTGAGCTGGACTTCTGGCAGCTATACCACAGTGAATTGCTGATGGCTGGAAATCAGAGAAAGCCAGGCTCCTGAGATTTGCACCAAAGTATAACAACCCTTCCTTGGTGTTGCACCAAAGGGGAAGCTGTGCTGAGCGGATGTTCCCACCTATCCTACTGCATCTCTGCCCTACCAGCAGAGACACAGCAAAACGCACCCTTTGACTGCATTGTTACAGATGGGCATTTTCCATAAAATCTTGCCTCTGAGTGGCCCTGGAGGCCTCAGGAGCAGAGCCTCTGTTCTGCAGCTTTATGGCACAGCCCTTCCTGGACTTGGTGCCCAGAGGAAGGAGGAGCAGATGGAGCCTTGGTCTGCAGTGGGAGCGGATCGCACATCTCTTCGTTAGGTGGAGAGAATCCTTGAAGAGCCTCAGAGAGAGAGAGGGTGTCACAGGATCGTTCCACACAACTCAAACAGCCGACGTGCTCAGAAGGAATAGCACGTCTCCAGCTGTGGTGGCTGTACCATGTCTTCATAAGCTCATGAAACAAACCTTATTTGCAGCCATACCTGCTTTTATACAGAAGCATACAGAAGGCTGCAGGGGAACTAACTGCGGCAGTCTGTGTTGTTTTCAGTGTGACATCCCATCTTTGCTCTGGAATACAGTGAAGAATGTTGACATACCTTCAACGACAACATCTTGCAAGCAGGTGGCAAAGAGGAAATTGCTTTGTTCCCTTTTCTCCATGACTTAAAGAAGGAGTAGGCAGAATTAAAACTCATTTTGACATTCAACCATTTGTGTAATGTTGCTCTGTTAGCTCCATCTTGTTGCTACAGGTTAAAGCAAGTGTTAAAGGGAGTAAAGACTGACACTAGTGCTTTTCTTTCTGTCCTGTCTAGTCCTCTTAGTCCTCCTGAAATCATGGGCAGTGCTTTAACAGCCCATCATGTAAAGGGAAATTCTGCATGCGAGCCCCACTGAGTTTCAATACCAACCCAGAGAGATCAAGAGGCCTTTTCTTTTTTTTTTTTCTTAACCTTTTTCTGGGGGAAGTCCAGCATTGGCTCTTTTCTCAGAGGGAAATTGATCTGGTGTTGCAAAGTTTGTTAAAAACGTTTTCACATTTGCAGTGTGGAAACTGCTTTGTGTTTGTCTGTCGCAGTTCCGCCATAGACAAGAAGACAGGAGAGAAAGTGGCCATCAAGAAGCTGTGCCGCCCGTTCCAGACAGAGATCTTTGCCAAGAGAGCATACAGAGAGCTCATACTCTTGAAGCAAATGCAGCATGAGAATGTAAGTATGCATTACTCACTGTTTCTGCTAAAGCAAGGGGAACTCCCCTAGGTGCGTGCCGACTCTAGTGGCAGCACCTTACCTTTGAGAGGTCTCAACATCTGCCATGGGGAGCAGTCTCCGGGCCTGACTGCTGCCCAGCTGGTGCCACATCGGCTCAGGCAGATGTGTAATAGGTGTTCCTGTGTCTTAGGAAGGGGAAAAGTAGCTGCACAACACGGTGAGGAGTCCTCGCATTCCTCAGATAGAGCTCTCAGTGCTCACGGATGTGCTGATGGAGAGCTGTTACCTGAGTTTCACATGCAAGGCAAACGCTTTCTAGATTTATGTTTGGGCTTCTCTTGTCTATCAGGTCATTGGGCTGCTCGATGTCTTCACCTCCGCCCCTTCCTACCATGGATTTCAAGACTTGTAAGTGTGGAGTTTGTGTTGCTTTGCCTAGGCTGGATTGTTGAGCACCACACATGCAGGCTTTGCAGCAGCACGATGGATCGTGCTGAGGTGCAGTTCAAAAGGCAAATTGGAAAAGGGACAGACTAAAGCCAGACATCCCCAAATAACAAGGAGAATCATAAGCAGTTCCTGTAGCTGAAAGGCCCACGTGAACAGATGGCATGCCCTGTTCACAGCTGGGAGAACGTGGGATAGACAGACCAGCATAAATTACCTGAGGCATTTTGTTCCATGGTGCATGATGTGTCTTGTGAGCCACGCTGACGCACGGCGTAATCTAGAGGCTGTATCCAGAATGGGGAGAAGTGGCGTTCACCAGTCCACACGGTAATTGAACTTTGGAGATCTCATTCTCCTTTCGCTTTGATTCTGGCTGTTCAGACACCTTGGTGTTGGTGGTCAGGTCAGACAAGCTCCTCTCACTTCCTCATCCCTGGGCAGCACGCACCTGCCTCCAGGTTTGCGGCTGCTGGCTGATACTTGGCAGCCTGCACAAAAACCATTCGCTGGTTCTGAGATGTTACTGCTGCTGATTGTGGCCTCAGCAGGCAGGCTGAAGGAACCCACAGGCTGTTTTCCAAGGCAGGGCCAAGGAATATTATAAATTTGGGAGCCAGTGCTGCAGCTTTGCAAGACTCTGTAAAACTGCACATGACACTTTGCTGCCAGGTGGACACAAGGTCACATGGGTTTGAAAATTATTATTTAAAATTAAACTAATTTGAGGTTGTTATGATTTGGAAGATCTTAATTTATATCATGTGTCTGATCTGACGGGAGGAGAAAGAGCACTTTTCAGAGTGGGCAGAATCCTATCATTGCTGCAGTTGGCTAGGAACAGCCACAGCCACCTGCCCCAGTTACACTGATTTAAACAGTCACAGGAAAACAAACCACCCAAACAACAACAAAAATAAGAACGAGGCCAGCCTGGCTCCTTGTGCTTTTCTTCTAGGCTCAGGGCTTTGTCTTACTGCCTTTTAGCTACCTGGTGATGCCGTACATGCGGACAGATTTACAAAAGATCATGGGACATGAATTCAGTGATGAAAAGATCCAGTACCTGGTCTACCAGATGCTGAAAGGGCTGAAGGTAGGTGGGGCTGGAGAAACACCACTGGACTTGGTGACTCCTCTCCAGTTGGTCTTGCTTTGTCATCTCTGGGCTGACCACAGCAACAACCCCTTGTCTGGGGAAGATTTGTTTTTCTGGGTGTTTGTTTGGTTTTTGTTTGTTTTAATGGCACACGCTGAGAAACAGGGATTTGCTCTTGAATGACTCTTGTTCTAGCATACATCAGTCCAAATGGCTGTCCTTTCATGCTAGTCAACAGGCATGGAAGCTTCCATCAGTTGTAGAGCTTGGAGTGGTTTCTCTGTGACAGCAGCTGTGCTGCTGACTTGCCAAAACCCTGAGCAATTCTGCAGTACCAGGAGCAGTGGGGCTCCTGCCGAATTTCTGGGCTGTCAGTGAAGAAGATGGAGGGAATGATTTTCTGTTCAACACAGTGAGCAAGAAATGTACTTCTCTAGCTGCCCTTGGGAGGACAAAGCAATCACTCCAAACCCTGAAATGCACAGCAATGCCTTAACATTGCCCTCTGTAACACCCTCCACCTGGAGTTTAGAGCTGTGGTTTCTGAGTGTTACTAAGTTCACCCCAGTAACACCTTTCCCCTCATCACTGCTACCTCGAGTTTAAGTAAAGCAAGGGGAGAATAATGCCATTGGTCTAACTGGTGCAGCAAAAGTCGCAATCGGTGTTTGAAACAGTAATCTGATTTCCAGTTTTGGTTTAATGATGAAATTGTTGTTTCAAATGTTAAACTATGGGGGAAAAAAATGAATCAAAGTTTTCACACCATCCAACTGACTCCAGCTCTGTCTGTAGTCCAGAGGTCTGTTTTGATAGTTTTAAGAGACTAGTTGGCTTTGCTCTGAGGCACTGTTGCCCCGTACCCCCCTTCTGCTCTATGCTGCTTCTTTGGAGCAGCAGCGTAACTGCAAAAGCTGTCAGAAATGCAGCTGGACGCTTCAGATTGCTCTCAGGTAGCTTTCCCTCATCAGCCACTGCTTCTCCTACGGTTGTGGGCTTTACTGTGGGCTCATATTCTGGGACACGCAGTGGATGCCAGCACTGCGTTCCCACTGACTTCCTCTTTGGAACTCTCATTTCTCCGCTGGAGAAAATGCTCTTATCTGCTGGTGACCACACCGTGGCTTCTCTTTTTGTTGCAGTACATTCATTCTGCCGGAATCGTCCACAGGGTAAGTCCATATCACCAATACTCTGATTTTGTCTGTTTAGGAGAAATGCAGCTTGGTCATAAAAATAGCAAATTTCTAAACATCATTTTGCTAATGGCCTCATGTGCTCTGAATTCTCTCTGGCTCTGCTGCTCTCCTGTACCCAGTGCTTATTCAGATTTAGCAGAAATGCTCTATTTGCTGGCAAGCTGTGAAGCACTTTATGATTTTTGAGTGAAAATGGTTTAAGGAAAAAAAAAGTCACTGCAATTTAAAGCTATACAGTATTGCTGTATTGGCACTGGGCTCAGGATGTTATGAGAAAGCATCCCAGGTGAGCTGAGACTTGACTCAGGCTCGCGTTGATGAACTGCAAATCCAAACATCTCACTTATTCTGGTCTCATCTGTTTTAGGACCTGAAGCCAGGCAACCTGGCTGTGAATGAAGACTGCCAGCTAAAGGTAGGAAAAATGCAGGGAGCAGGTCAGAGTGCTCATAAGCTACTCCACAAGCAGGAATGCTGGCGTGCAGGTGTCAACGTGCTTCCCCTGACAGCTCAATCTGGGGAGCTGCATTACACAGCAGTTGTAGTCAGCAGGAAATATTCACCTGCTTATGCAACTTGCTGAATCAGGGCCCAGGCCTTGGAATGAACATCCTGTCACTGTCATTCTGGCTGCACTGAAGTTCCCAATGACTTCCTAAATTAATGTAATACTACTGAGCCATATGGGTGTTAGGTGGATCCCTATCCCTGAAGGATAACTGGATACAGCCCCAGTTACCCTTTGGTTCTTGTTGGCTAGACCCTGAGGCATAATGGCTGTGATTCTAGACAAAGTTATTTTCAGTATATCTCTGAAGAGATTGCTTACAGCTCAGAGGGGTGACAGTCTCCCATTTGTTTTCTGTAATGTATATTACTGGGAGGGGCTTCTGTTGCCCGTAAAGGTTGGGTCAAGCCGTGTTCATCTCCAGAACTGAGAGGTCATCTCCTGTCAGCTGCCGGGTGTTGTTATAGGAAATGGTGAGTCATAGTGGCTTGTGAGCACACCTTGGCCTCCACCTTCTACAAGTCCATTAAAAAAAATCTCATAGAATTTAAACTTAAGCGTCAAAGGAAGTGACCTTCCAGGTAGCAGCACAAGACGCAGATCCTCTCCGCAGGGTCTCTGCAGAACAACCAGCTCTGCAGCTGGCTTGCAACTTGCAGTGGAATTAAGACAAACTTGTAGGTCTTTGAACCATCCCATGGGTGGCTTTGGTGCAGACAGAGCTTCGCCCCGGTCTGATTGGATCTGCTTCATTTAAAAGCAGATTATTGCTTGTAGGATTGATTGATTTGATTCTTTCCTGCCTTTCCTTCTCCCTCTTCTTTTGGTGAGCTGCAGATCTTGGACTTCGGCTTAGCAAGACATGCTGATGCTGAAATGACAGGCTATGTGGTCACACGCTGGTATAGAGCTCCAGAAGTCATTCTGAACTGGATGCATTACAACCAGACAGGTGAGTTGCATTGCTTCAGCTGTGTGACTGTCTGGTGACAAACCCAAAGACCTCTCTGTCATGCCTGGGTCAAATCCCACCTAATCTACCAAATGTTTTTGCTCCTTGTAATCAGTGTCCCCTGACATGGAGCAAATCACAGCTGATGCCTGTGGGAAATGATGAAAGCAAAGATTTTAGCAGCATGGAAAGAACTGGGGAGGGCAGAAAATGGGACTGAAATTGAAATGGGTGCCTGCTGCAGACTGAAAAAATAGGCAACAGCTCATGCAATCCTTTTTTCCTAAAAAGCTACTCTTTTTAAACTTTTCCTTCTTTCTTCCCAACAGTGGATATCTGGTCTATTGGTTGCATCATGGCAGAAATGCTGACTGGGAAAACGCTGTTTAAAGGAAAAGACTGTATCCTTTCAAACGAAACCTTTTCCCTCAGAGGGGTAACAATTCTTGGCATGTGTGAGAGAGCCTTAGGAATGCGGCTACAGAGGGAAATCAGTGTTGGTCTAGTTTACTAAGAGATGATCACAGGAGATCAGTGCAGTCTTTTTGGTGAGGAAAACAGAATATAGAAGGGGGACAAGACACCCTTAGAAGTGCACCTCCTCTGTTGGCCACGTATTCTCTATATCAGCAGTCTAACCTTGAATTCCCCTCGTTTTATACTCAAGCCCTTCCATACTCTCAAGTCTATGGGCATATACCTCGGTAGAACGGTACAAACAGAACTCGCTGTTGATGAGGACTGCATCCTAGAAGAGAGGATGCAAACAGTGTAATGAGTCTCAGTTTGTGTGGCTCTGCGGGTCTGTATCATTACCTGCTCAGAGCTGCTGCTGCTCCTGGGACGCTCCTGCGCACAGCCCATAGGTTGAGCTGCTGGGTGGAGCCCAGCGCTCGCTCCCAGGTGGATGATCTTTAACACAGCCCGCCAGACCTTGATCAGCTGACTCAGATCCTGAAAGTAACGGGGCATCCAGGAGATGACTTTGTGGAGAAGCTTGAGGACAAGGCGGTAAGGAAGCCACTCTGGTCTTGCTGCCAAAGGCATGGTGGGGAGAGGTAAACTCACAGCAGATGAGCCATGTGCTGCTGTTACAGCCGCCGTGAACAGGAGAGGGGGCAGTCTTTCCCATCATCAGGGGAAACGTTTTTGTCAGTGACACCTCTGATGTATTTGACTTCAATGCTTGTCACTGAGAACTGGTGTGGATCATAGGGCTGCTGGGCGAGGAACTGGTGCTGCACCTCCTGCCTCTGTTCTGCAGCTCAGCTGTTCTTAAAGCATCAGCATTTCTGTGTCCCAAGTGATAAAAACAGTTCTTCACAAGCTGGCCACTAAAATGCGACGTGAGATAATTTGTTGTTCTCTTCTCCTAAATAATGAGACCCAAGAGCTCTATTTTACAGCCCCCTTATACTTGTCCAGTTGCAGTAAATGCTTGTGCTCTGCTTTCCTTTCTCTTTTAGGCTAAAAGTTATATCAAGTCTCTTCCAAAAATGCCCAAGAAGGATTTGTCAGTGCTCTTCCCCAAAGCCAATCCTCAGGGTAAGTAATCTTGAGCATTTCTCACAAGTTCTCACAACTGAAAATGAGTTGGGCTGACTGCCACAGATGCAATTTTGTTGCTCCTCTTTTTCATAACTTCTCACTGCTTCCTCCCTTGCAGGCTGTATCCCAGCAGGAGGTTGCCCTTCCCAGAGCAAATACACCTGAATTAAAACAGTCCTTTATTGGCACTGCAATGTCAGTGTTCTGCTGTTAGTGGCCATTTACCTCTTCCCTTTCTGTTTTTAGTTTTAAAATGGCACAGTGTGTAAAATAAAAGGAAGAGGTAAACTTCACACTCTTGTATTAACAAGCCAGAAGAAAGCATATGCTATATACAACAGGATGTCTAGGTCACAGAAAGCAAATCGTGGGATTAGGGCAGTTGCATGCAGCTGTACAACACCTTTAGCTCCACTTGCTATAGGATTTGGGATGAGTTTTGGCTGATGTTAGCTTTCAGAGCTTGCTGCTTGTAGCAAAGCAGAGGACATTATGATTCAGAGTACTCAAAATGTCTCCCCAACCCCAGATCCAAAGCATCACAGGTTTCGATGAAGTATGAGAGAGCCCCACAGTCCACTCTAATAAATCTCTTCCTGTGGGAAGAGTTCAGCTCAGATTGCAGCTGTTTTTTGAACACCTGCACCTTTCAGTACGTAACAGGCAGTTGAAATGTGCGATTTTCAGGGTAAAAACTGATCTCCAAGTGGCTCTTTCCCCAAGTAGATAAGAGAAAACCTCTTCTAAAAGGGGAGCATTAAGCTATTAATACCAAGACGGAACAGGGATGACAGACCAGTCAGTATCTGAGTTTCCTGCCTTCCTGTTTACCAGGGATGTATAGGTTTCTATATGGATTACTCAAGCAATAGCTTGAGAATTGACTATTTTGAGTCACAGGGGTCAGAGTGAAAGCAAATGACTGAAGCTGCAAAACATCATGAAGTTAATGGTTTGCCGTCCATTCACATTCCTGCAGACTATCCATGCAGCAGTGCCTATCTGAGGCTGATTTGTTACCTCTGTACCTCCACTTCTCTTAGTAAAAGTTACCTGTGGCCACTGCTTGGCAAACTTTGCAGATTTCCATGCTGCCTTGGCCAGATTGAGGAATTCGTTTTGTTTTTAGGTATGGAAATGTCTTAGTGGAAACACTAGCCCTATCATTTTCAGGGTTTGTGCACAGGATGGCTGTTCTGCCCTGTACCCACTCAGCGTGTTCCTGTCTTCTCCCACAGCAGTGGACCTGCTGGACAAGATGCTGCAGCTGGATGTGGAGAAGCGCCTTACAGCCACAGAAGCATTAGCCCACCCATACTTCGATCAATTCCGAGACATTGAGGAGGAGACAGAGGCACAACAGTCCTACGATGATTCTCTGGAGCATGAAAAGCTTTCAATAGAAGAATGGAAAAGTAAGAAGTTTATTTTATTTGACACTGCATAGCACAGACTTTCCTGCCCCTTTCTGTTTCCTGTGAGCACGCTGAGTAAGGCCAGCTCAGCTGCAGCCACTCAGTAACGCCTTGATGATGGCATTCATCTCCCTTTCCTTGCTCTTACTGTCATGGACTCAGCAGAGATTCCTTCTGCTGCCATCTTTTCAGATTCCATTTTTTCCCCCATCTGTACTTCATCTCTTCCTCCAGCTTGTACCTGCTGTACTTCTCTCTGCACACGGTTAATGGTCGAAGTTTCGTTTGTGACCTCTGCAATAGGAGATGCACGCTAGAGGTATTCATTATTCGTTCTTCTTCTGTTTTTCAAGAACATATCTACAAGGAGATCTTATCCTTCAGTCCAATCGCACGGAAGGACTCAAAGAAGCGAAGTGGAATGTCGCTGTAGTGACTGCTTCAGCTGTGACTGGGATTCATGTCTGATGCTGGATGACAGATGGGATTTGTTCCACACAGCCTCTTTTGTTTTTGCCATCACTTGGCCTATGGGACTCCGCTGTGTGTGAACATGATGTCAACGCTGTGACCGTGGGCATTGGACTTTCTTCCACTGGTGGGGGAAGCACTCCTAAATAGTTTTCAACTGGAAAGATAAAATGCTTCACTGAAGCTTTGGGAGAAATTGCTGGTATTTTTTCTCCCTCCCTCCTCCCCCCTCTCCTCCCTGCATATTGCCAGGTTTTTGTTTCTCCTTTCTTTCAAAAAGCACAGGCTTTTGGACTTGAATTATGTATAAGGTAAATAAAATGGTAACGCTGTCTGGGGACTGAGTCCCAAGCAAAATAATGAAATGGTGAAATTTAGCGTAACAAGACTTTATCCACACTCCTGATCACTGAGCTCCTAAAGAGCACCCAGCATAGCCAGGTTGCTGACATGATTCAGCACCCAGGACATCATGGGAATTGAGTTCTTCATACACACTGGCTACATCCAGGGCACCTTCTGCCCTGGTTTCTTGCTGTGCACAAAACTCCCTGCTCGGGTGCAGCCTCCTCTGGGCAGGTACTCATTCCTCCTTTTTGCTTTACTTCTCTCATCCTTGGGTTTTGATAGGTACTGTTTCTTCCTCGTGGCTAGCTGCAAATGCATCCCTGGGAGTTAAAGACCACATTCCCACATTCATAACCTCGTTATCCCAGGGAGCTGGGTTACCAGCAAGCAGTCCTCCTGCCCTCACAGGGGCCTCTCCTTTATGCACAGTCTGCTTCACCCTCCAGCTCCCTTAGCCAGGCTTATCTCTGCTGAGCACCCTGCCTCTGCAGGCTGCCTTTATCTCTTAGCAGATCTGGTATTTTGTTACACACTCCAGTGACATGACCTCTTACGCACTCATTCCCTCTGCTTTGAGGAATCCGTTTTACCATTTGTTCTCTGCTGCAGTTCTCTTACAGGGCTGTTTGTTCCTTAATAGGAAGAGGCTTTAATTGTTTGGAAATGTCTTAATAGGTGATTGTCTACCTCACATCCTTACTTTGAAGTAAGAATCAAAAAGTTTATAGATTGGAAAGGAGGAAAAAAAAAAAAAAAAGAAAAACAATACATTGCATGAATAATTCAGCATCATCAGAAACAGGAACACAATTCAATTCAGTGAACATGGAAAATAACTTCAGATATTCTGGTACCAGATCAGTTCCTTCAGTCATCGATCTTATAAACATCATCTGAGACGATCTTGTTACATAGAAAACCTCACAGAAACCAAGCTACAAACAGATTCCCATTAATTAATTCACTTTAGCGAGTACTTCTTGGCTACGAGAAGTTGCCACCTCTGAGATGCTCATCATATCTGTGTGTGACAAAGGTTGGGAATATGCAGTGCTTGTAGGGAAAAGTACCCTGGAAGAGAAAGTTTCAAATGCAATTGAATCAATCAAATTCAGTTACCGATTACGAACTTCCAGAGTCTTGCTGCAGTTGGAAAGGAAGCAGTTGAGGGCCAAGGGCTCACAGGTCGGGATTTTAGGGACCCTATGTGCACCCTAATGCAGACTCTCTAAGAAAAGCCAAATTAGTGTCACCTTGTGGACACTGGTGACGTGAAAGAGAGCCCTACTGTGCTGCATCCACAGCCACTTGCATCCAGCCTTGCCCTCAGATGCTATTTCTTTAGTAGGTATAGAGCTTTGTATGAGTTGAAGAACAATAAAATACTATCTTTTGCTGTTTATCACTCTGGATTAAGCATTTTCTCACATACAACTTGTCTGGATTTAATTGGTTTGCAAAGGTGTTCAGATAGCATTGCGATAAGAAGAGTGTGATGCACAGACAGAGGGAGGTGGTTCTCTGAGCCCGGCTGCTGTTTACCGGACTAACCAGCTTGGCATCTGCAATCTCCCTCCAGGGAATGTTTGTTCCACCTTTGCTTCTGTAATATGCCAAGTAGTTCATTCAAACACAAAAGTATGTTTTGATCCTTGAGGCAATTTGATGTACTAGAAGTATTACTAATGTAATCTGAAGCCTGGAACTGTTGGAGGTATATGCGTCAGTATGTCCCAAGCCAATACTCAAGTACATAGGTGTGTGCTATAAATGTTATTACTACTGGAAGGGGAGATGAAAAACAATTACAGGCACAAAATAAGCAAACTGCATCTGAAAGTAACTTCAGTCTTAATACTATATAAGCAGGTCTTAAAGAACCACGGTTTGAGGAAACCATTCTCTCCTCGTCCTGCTCCACGGGATGCAACCTGCATATTCCCTGCATGCAGGAAGGGAGCAGTTGAAATATCGTCCCTTTGAACAAGAAGTCTGACTGGGCTTCTCTGTCCATCATGTAATCTTTAACAGAGGTCACAGAGGAGCTCTCTGCAGCTGCCACAAACATCTCAGCTGCATGTCTTTGTACTGAATATACTTCCAAAAAATATTTTATATCAAGTCCAGATTCCTGTGTGGAGTGCTTTCTCTTTTGTGAGCTTACACTGAATGCTCTGAAATAGTGAGAACAACCTCAAGAGTTGTGTGTGGACTCCACTCTGGGAATCTTTCATTCATCCACTGACAATGCACAGTGGTCTTCAGCACACGATTCTGCCACGTGTCCCCTAAGGAGCAAATAATTCATGGACATTCATTTTGCTAGTTTTTTTGGTTTTTTTTCTCCTTGTGTAATTTACATGACTTTAAAATACAAAATCCAGTGATAAAAATCACTCAACCATTTAGTGAACATCCAAAATCCCATAAATCAGGCCAGATGGAAATATGCTATTTACACTGAAGCACAGTAAAAATGATGCTGATATAAATTATTTGTGCCCACCTCACATAATATGCAGATGCCCATCTTGAAATACTTTTTATATCTCAGTCCTGCATTTATTTTTGAATGTAGAGAGTTTTTTTACTATTATTTGGAAAGTGAAGCCTTCATCATAAACAATCTTTCTGTGCAAGTTTTTTGGCAGCCAGTGAGATCTGTGAGTTACAACTTTACGAGAGAGATCTTATTTATGGAGTACTTACAGCTGAGATTGGGTGAGAAGAAGCGGATGAAGCAATGATTTTTTTTTTCCATAAGAGACACCATAAAGTTATAAGGATTTATCTTTTTTTAAAGCAGATACACAATATTCAGCACATTTTGGACATCACCTAGAAAACTCTCTGTGCTTTGAAAATATCTACAGCTTCTTAGAAAACTCTACACTTATTTTATCCCATAAGAAAAAAAACTGTTTTCATATTTAACCTTCTCACACTCTAAGTAACGTTCTAAATGGACTAATCCTTTTCAGGTTGTATGTGTGTGATACTGGGATAAATTTCTCTCGTGCCAAGTTTTCTGGCTGCATGGGCTTATACAACCCTTCGTATGATGTTCAGCCAATGCTGCTTCGCCACTGATTCAGACAGCACTTTGGCTGATTGATAACTTCTTTCTCTTTTGCTGGGTTGCGCTCTATTAAATAATGTTAAAAGTAAGCATTTATCTTTAGTAACTTTCAGTTGAATGAGAGCTAACTCCTTTTAGCCAAGTTTGGCTAGAAAAATTAGAATTATCCTACTATCAACCATAATTTCAGTTCTTTCTTCAGAAAAACCCAAAAAGGGCTTTAAAACTGATTTGCACATTAAGATAAAAAAAAGGAATACCATTAATTACTAGTAAGAAGACAGTGCTAGGTGCTTGTGTCATCTCTCTGCAGTCAGTGGGACTGAACAGGGCTATAAATACTCCCCATAAAGCTAGGATCTCAGGAAGTGCACTCGCGAATCCAGCTGAACTGTACTGCAGCCAAGGCTAACCACTTTGAGGTATGTGGCTTTTAACCTTTAGGGTGCATGGGTCCTTTTTAGCAACAAAAACAATTCCAATAGTTCTGAAGAAAACAGCCACAGAACAACCAATCAAAACACAGATGACAGAAGTACTTGCTTTGAGGCTTAATGAATCAACAAATTAAAAAAAAGGTCATTTTTCAGTTCTCAATTACAAATGATAATTTTCTCCCTCTTTAAATATGTTTAAATACTTGAATAAAGATGAAGAAAATTATGACTGAATGTGCCTAGCTCTGTTTGAACTGCCTTGGCTGCCATTTTCAATTGAAGTGACATCCCTGGTTTTGAACTTGTACCATTTAAAAACTGTGAGAGCCAAGAAATTGAATTAAGTTGTGCCTCTGGGATTTCAGATAAGTCCAGAATGTTTTTTCAAATAACACATGAGTTCCACAGCTCTATTTTAAAATTAAATGATGGATAACTTGTTTTAACGCTCAAACATATGGCCCTCAATCTTCCAAGATGTCTGTGCATATTTCATGTTGCGCAAGAGTCACCCTACGGAACTTAATAGGACTATTCACACAGTTGACATTAAGCACATATGCAAATCTTCACAAGACGTGATTTTAATAAGCCAATTTCAGTGCAAATCTAAGTATAAAGGGCTTAAAAGCTGAGGTCAAAATAAAAGAACTTGCACAAGTGTCATAATGAAAGAATACCAAAATGCTGAGGAGAAAATATGCACTAAAACCTTCTGATAAAATCCAAACTATGTTCTCATATAAAGAGGGAAATTAGGCAGTCAAACTGCTCATTGCAGTAACTGAAATAATTTTACTTACTGTGAAACTCTTTCCTCAACAGTCAACTCATTTGCTGAGATGTCTATTTTATAGATTTTTTGTTGTTCTTTATGGATAGGATTGTGCTTTTCCATAGATGCACTTTGGGGGCGACGTGGGATTTTATGTAAAATGATATGCTTTATTTATCTCCAATTTCTTTTCATGCAGTAAAAATATATATATGTGTGTATATATATATATATATATATATATATATAATATCCTTGAGTTCCGATGTGTTAACAGTAGCTTCTTCAAGAAGTAAACACAGAAATGAGTACTGAGAAGTTTTGAAATGTAAAATCCGTCTTAACGTTCCTGTTCTGCATTAAGTGAAACTTTTCCTGTGTTCTTAAAGCTTCACATCCCAGTCCAATTTGAGTACTTTGCAGAACAAGATTGTCACGGAACACTTGGCTGCTCTGATATTTCACACTTAACATACAATGAAAGACAAAAGATCCTATAGTTGTAACTGAGGGAAAGCTACATTTTTATCTTTGAAAACAATTCTGTATTCTATTTATAATTCTATACGTTCAGATGCCAATATTATGCAATATTCTGTATGACTGTAAGTGGGAAGTGCATACGCACAAGTACATGCTATGCTCTGTAAGCATAGGAGACTCTGGAGCTCCTATCTCATCACTTATCTCAGTGGCAAGCACAACTCCTTCCTCATTCATTCCTCTCTGTCCCTCTCTCTGTCCCTCTCTCTGACCTTCCACCTTGTCACACCTCTGAACGTCAGGAGGCCATCTGGACCCGAAGTATCACACTAGAAAATAATGCAGACTCTCATTAATCCCATCATTTGTCTGACAGTGTTGTTTGGGTGCAGAGCAGCAGGGATTAGGCTTACATGCTCTCTGGGAGAGCTGCGCTAACTGGTGCCGGCGATACTGTCATGTGGTTTTGATGTTCCCACGCGCTTCCTGCAAAAAGAAATACCGGGTGAAGGATGAAGCACTCTCATAAACTCAGGGCAAGGATCTAGCCAATCCCAGGGGCCTAAAACAGGTCCCGCACAGCTGCAGCTGAGCTCGCAAGCAAATCCCAAACCCAGGGACCATCACAGAACCCTTAACTGGAGCACCCCTGGGATCCCCAACCCAACGTCGCCCCCCGTTCCCGCTGCCCGCGTCCCTCCGTGCCACGTTTCCTGAGTTCCGAGCTCCTTCGGGGACGGTGACCCCCCCACCCCCCGGGCAGCGCGTCCCGATACCCGACCACTCCGATAATAAACTTGCGTCCCGTCATTCCCCCCCGCCCCTCCCGGCCGCTCAGAGCCAGCAGCACAGCCGGGAGGTGGACGCCTCCCCCCGCTCGCAGCCCCCGGGGCCCTCCCGCTCCTCTCGGCCCGGGGGTGGGAAGGCACCGGGAGGGGCGGGCGGTCTCTGCCCGCGGGCTGGGGGGAGCGCAGCGCGGCAGCCCCCTCCCCCGCCGCCTTCCCTCACCGCTCGGCCGGGGCCGCACCGCCGCCACCGCCTCCATTTTGTGCGTGTCCCTGCGCCCCCCCCGCCTCTCCTCACACAGCGCGGGAGCGGCGCTGGAGGGAGCGGGGCCCCGGGAAGGGGGGGAGCCGGGGGTGGTGGGGGGCGAAGCGGCGGCGGAGCGGCATGAGAAGGCGGCGCTGAGGAGGCGGCGGCGGACGGAGCGGCCGGACCGACATCTTGTGCCCTCCCCTCCCGCCGCCGGCTGGGTGAGCCCCAGGGGGGAGGGGAGGGGGAGGCGGATTTAAAGGAAAAAAAAAAAAAAAAAAAAAAAAAAAAAAAAGGAAGGGGAAAAAAAAAAAAAGCACCCCCCTCCCCCCACACCACGGAAAAAGAAAGAAAAAAAAACCCAAAACGATAAGGAGGCGGCGGTGACGGCGGAGACCGCGCGCAGAGACACCGAGGTAACGCGCTGCGCGGGCCGCGGCTCCCTGCCCTCAGGGGTCTCTGCTCCCTCACGCAGCGCTGCGCCGGGGTCGCGGGAAGGTGACCGGGTAGGCGGCAGGAAGGCCACTGTGCCGCGGCTAGAGGAGCTTCCCGCTCGCTCGCCGCGCGGAGGGAGCGACTCGCGGCCCTCACCGAGCGAGGGGCAGCGGCGCTGAGCGCGGGAACAGGTATCGGGCAGCACTGCGTCCACCGGCCCCCCCGGCCGCCATCTTGGCTGCCCCTCGCCGCGGCGCTAGAGGTGGCCCCACCCACCTTCTCCCACGCTATTGGCCGAGCGCGCCCCGTTTTAGCCCCGCGGCGCTCTGCGTTGCTATTGGTACCGAGGCTGGGACGGGCGTTGGCGGTAGCCAATAGCGTCCTGGCTTTGGTGTGCGCGCTCTGTCGCTTTTTCCGGCCGGGTTCTACTGCTCGGGGACTTTTTTCGCTCCTTGGGGAATGGCGGGCCGCGGCGCTATGGGCCCTCTCACAGGCGCGTTCGTCGCTGTGTTTGTGCCCGCTCCGTGCCCTGTTTTGACTCTGTCGGTGCCAGCAAGGTTGCTGTGGCCCTGACAGCGCTCCTGAGAGGAGCTCTAGGACAGCACCTGCCACAGGTTCCTTCAGAGAGCTGCTTAAACCCAGGCCGCTCCTTACACTTCATCCACAGCCTCACACGACGCCCGGCATGTGCCGCATCTCCGCCCGATGACAGAAATGTGGAGGGATTCATAAAGTGTGTGTGGGTATCAGAGAGGAGAGTGGGCCCTCGGCAGCCCTGCAGCGTGTGTTGGTGGTGGAGCCTGTGGAAAGTGCAGCCGTGGAGTGTAGCAGTGTGCTTTGGGTTGGGGAGAGAGGAGCCTGGAGAGGAGACAGCTGCTGCAGGCTGTTCATTTCCTGTGGCACTGTTGATTCAATTTCATGGATGTGTTTCTTCAATACTTCTGCAGGTGTTTGTTCCTCCCTCCCTCCAGAGCTAAGGGGTGGGAGGAGGAGAAAATCTCCTGAGCCTGTGTCTGCTCCGTGCAGACACTGGGCTGATCCTTACCTAAAGCTGAGCTTAGGGTCCCTTCCCCCTGTGTGACACTGAGATGTTCATCGAGGAGGGACCTTGCTTTTTCTGACATCCACATAGAATCATGGCTGGAAAAGACAGAGATTCCTAAGTCCAACCCCAGCCCATCCCTACCATGCCCCCTAACCATGTCCCTCAGTGCCACATCTCCACACGCCACGATGGAAGCTTCTCCAGCATCGCTGCCTTTAGCTGCAGCCTTGTGTCTTCCAGAGGCTCGCAAAGACTCCTGTTGCCAGTGAGAAAATCATTGTCTGCCAGCATGGGAAGGAGAGAGGTTGAAGGAGGCTGAGGTCTTCTGAGGTGTGACTGGATGCTTCTGGTCCTCGGTGCAGCGTTGCACAAGTGTGGATCACAGCAGTATTTAGCCCTCCTTTTACAGGATCCACTTGTGCAGGATTTTTCCTGTGTTGCAATGATATTTGGTATGTGGATCTCTCACATTTTTTTCTGTGAAGCTATCTGTAGTAAATTTAAGCCTTCTGATGGGGCTTGTTTTTCTTAGTTCCTTTTTGCAGACCCCAGGCATCTATGCGCCACAGACATGAAAACTGCTGCTCAGAAGAAGTGAACCATTTCAGAACAAATTCGTGGGATAGAATTAAATTTAGCTCTGGCAGCTTTTTGCATTACAGCCCCGTTGTTCGTTTAGTTGTGCTCTCTAGGAACCTATCCCTCTGTTCCTGGCGTCATACGCAGTGAAAGTGGATTGTGGGGTATTCTTGGAAAGCCTTGAGCACGCTGGTGACAGCAAGAGGACAACTTTTTGAACTTTTTGCTTTTATATCAACAGCATTTGTCCATGGTAGGACAAAAGCAGCATAGGCTGAAGGAGTGTTTAACCCTGCTGAAGTCAAGGCAGTGTAGCATTTCAGCATGCACAGATGCTGTTTGCAGAGAGATTTTTTGTATGTGGCTGGGGAGGTGTTTTCAAGTGTGCTGAGAAGATCATAACATTCCTGGATTGCTTCTTAGAAGTTGCTGTGTTGCAGACAAGGTCACAGGGTTTCATCTTGGCATGTCTGAATTTGTTTTATGGTTGCTTTCAAGGCTTTCTGGAGGTGGGTAGTTGTGTCTCTTCCTGATATCCAGATGCCTTTCAGAAATGAGCTGGAATTCTTATCCCAGGCACTGAGTGAGTTCTGGCTGGCAGCAATTTCAGTGCCGTTTTAGATGCTTCTATGTATTGTTAAGTAGTTGTGTGCTTTGCAAATGGGTTGGTTTAGAGCAGCCAGTTACTGTGGTAAAAAGCCCTCTTTGGGTAATTTCTCTGGACAGTAAACTGACTGTGTCTCTAAAGCTACTACAAGAACGCCGTACTCTTGGTTTTTCTATCAGCAGGTAAAATAACCCTTCCTTGGAGCGCTGGTTTGGCTGAAATTTGCTCGTCTCTCAGCCAGTCATCAGCTAATGTCTTGTTTTTCCTGAACACAATGTTAATAATGGCTGTGGTCAGGTCATTCCAATTGCTTTATCCTCCAGTGTCTTTATGTTCATGAAACTTCTTGCATCCAGTATCTTCTTCGGTTACACCAGTCAGGTTATACCCAAGCCATATGTCAGCAGGATCTTCTTGGTTTTCCATTTGTTGACCAAGCTGCCTTTAGATGCTGGTTATAGAACTTCTTTTCCTACTGTTTGAAGCAACTGAACTTGTCTGTGACCAGTACAGCTGCATTTCTGCAGTATGCAGGTCAAAAAGATCCTGAAAATCCCAGTGTCTATGTTTACAGGTGGAAATTGTCATCTCATATTTTACATCTGAAAACAAATGATGCTTTCAGATTATCATTACAGGATTGCTGAAAGTGGCACCTGCAGCTTATTTCTGTGGGTGCAGAGGAAATTTTGGACTCCTTTTCCAAAGCTGGTTTGTTTCTTAGTGTGTCATCTCATGGCAGACTCATGGATAAGAGCGGCAGTGCTTTCAGGAGAAGAGTGTCTCCAGGAATCTGTTACTCCTTTCTGGAATAACTTCATGAATTCTTGCAGGCACTGATCCATGAGGTGATGCTTGCTTTGACTCAGTTGATGTTTGTGAGGTTAAGTCCATCATGGAGCAAAAAATAATGTGACAGATAAATACAAATGCTTTTTCTTGTCTGCAGGTCCCACAGAAAGGGGCCAAAAGTGCTGTGCTCTAAGGGTGAGGTGCTGGTTCAGGCCCCTGCATAGCAACAGATAAGCTCTGGGCTGACTTATCTTCTTGGGGAGATCTTACATTTACGTTTCTTCTTTTCAGCTCTCTCTTTCCTTGGCCTGTCTTGTTACTCTGCCTAGTTCTTTCTGTGCTTTGCACTCTCATCCCTGACTCTGCCGTCCCTTGCATTACTCACTTGGCTTCCTCTCCACTTTCCCTCTTTCACCCTCGGATCTCTGGGATCCTGCCGCTGCCTTTCCATCCTTCTTCAGCTCTTCTTGACAGCTCAGCTTCACCCTTCGTTGTTGGGCAGCTCCTTAATGACTGGAACTGACTCTCAAATGATTATCTTTGTTGCTGATTAGCAGTTTGTGAGGGCAGAGCTGGCTTGGGCTTTTAGTTAAGGCTCCACGTGAGCACCATTGCACAGTTCTCAGAACAGCTTTGTCTAGATGGTGTCTTGCTGCTTTCCTGCTTATACCCCTGTGGATCTTGCATGCTGAACCAGCTCAGGGGCCTGAACGTGGATTGTGGCTTCAGAGGGGCAGATGCTGAGCCTTGTAAGTCCATCTGGATCCATATTGCTCATTCCCATACTCGTTCCCTTTTACTTCTTTGTAGATCCTGCCAAAGAGAAGAAAGGACGTGCATCTAGCACCCATTGCATTGCTCAGTTCATCCTCTGGTTCTTCACAGGCTTTTCTAACCCATTTTGCATGATATGGAGAACATGGGTTAGCTCAGTGCACATTCTGTCTGCAGGATGGTGTGAGAAACCAGCTACAACTTCAGGAGAAAGGAAGGCAATGCTGGTAGATGGTTTTTCGACCACGGAACTCTTTCTCAATGTGGGTGAAGGAAGAAGTGGCAGTGGGATGGAGATATGGGTGAACTTCCCTCTGAACTGAGGGAGCACTGCTGGTGTACGTTCTCATGTGGAGCTCAGCTTAAAAAAAAAAAGAAAAAGATTGGCAGGGGGCACTGCTTTTGTAGGGCAGGAGGAGTGCTTTCCTTTAGGTCTGGAAAACCAGATCTAATATTTAGCTCATTATGTGTACTGCTGGGAACTCACAGGCAAAAGAACAGAGAGAAGAACTCCTTGGCCTGTGTGAACTAAACATTGAATGCTGCAAGCAGGTTTAATGAGTACTGTCTGCATTTCTGAGGATCTGGATAGTTTGCTGATCTCAGTGCATAGCAAAGTGTTTACATGACATTCTCTAAAACCCATTTCTACTCTTCTCGTCTGTTGGTATGGGAAACATTTCCTGGTTTGCAAGTAGAGAAAGTTGGAGGGTGCTGTGCCTTGCTGTGCCTTGATATACGCTGCAGAAATGATTGATATATCCAATACTTGCTTGTATTTAAGGTGAAGTAAACTCTGCAAGCCAGAAATTGCTGAGGCCTTTAGTTGAAATGCTTTTCTATTGTGATGCCGTGTGCATTTTTCAGTCTGTGCTGCTCCTGTCCACTTGTCTCCATGGCTCATGCTGGTACTGGTTTGTTGCAGGTCTCTGGTGGACCGCAGCAATGAGGAAGCCTCAGAGAAGATCACGGCAGAACCTGGAGGGCCGGCGTTCTCCCTCACCCTACAGCCTCAAGTGCTCGCCCACTCGGGAGACGCTGACGTACGCTCAGGCCCAGCGCATCGTGGAAGTAGACATCGACGGGCGGCTGCACCGCATCAGCATCTACGATCCCTTAAAAATCATCACCGAGGATGAACTGACCGCCCAAGACATCACAGAATGCAACAGCAATAAGGAAAACAGCGAGCAGCCCCTTTTCCCTTCAAAATCCAAGAAAACACCTTCCAAAGGCAAGAAGAAGGAATCCTGCTCCAAATACACATCAGGAACATCTTTACACTTACCCCAGCCCAACTTCCGTGTGACGGACTCCTTCAAACAGTCAGATGCCCCTCCTCTCCCTGCCGCCTACTACCGATACATTGAAAAGCCTCCCGAGGACCTTGATGCAGAGGTGGAGTATGACATGGATGAAGAGGATCTGGCATGGCTGGAAATGGTGAATGAGAAGAGAAGGGAGGATGGTTATGGGATGGTTTCTGCTGAAACTTTTGAGCTGCTGGTAGACCGCTTGGAAAAGGAGTCATACCTTGAGAGCCGGAACAACAGCGCCCAGCAGTCCGTCATCGATGAGGACGCGTTCTGCTGTGTCTGCATGGACGATGAGTGTCACAACAGCAATGTCATCCTGTTCTGTGATATCTGCAATCTGGCTGTGCACCAGGAGTGTTACGGTGTGCCCTACATTCCTGAGGGGCAGTGGCTTTGCCGCTGCTGCTTACAGTCCCCTTCTCATCCTGTTGATTGTGTCCTCTGCCCAAACAAAGGTGGAGCCTTCAAGCAGACCAGCGATGGCCGCTGGGCTCATGTGGTTTGTGCCATTTGGATTCCAGAGGTCTGCTTTGCAAACACTGTGTTCCTGGAGCCCATTGAAGGGATAAATAACATTCCCCCAGCTCGATGGAAGCTCACATGCTATATCTGCAAGCAGAAAGGCATGGGAGCTGCTATCCAATGCCACAAAGTAAACTGTTACACTGCCTTCCATGTCACCTGTGCCCAGCGGGCTGGTCTCTTCATGAAGATTGAACCCATGAGGGAGACCAGCATCAATGGCACAACATTCACTGTGCGTAAGACTGCCTATTGCGAGAGCCATTCCCCACCTGGAACAGTGAAAAAAGGGTATTCAGCTGCTACCAGTGGGAGGCAGGAGGGCATTGTGAAGGAGGAGAGGGAGGAGGAAGGCAATTCTGGCCCTCCCAAAGGGTCCCTAAAGAAGAACCAGGTGAAATTGAAGCAGAAGATCAAAAAGGAGCCTAATGAGGGGACTGATGGGCGCTCATCTGTGCCCATGGTGACAGTTGCACAAATTCCCTCTTACAGGTGAGTGTTGGAGCTGGACAGCAGAAGATGAACAGGGTCTGTTCTGAGGACTCGGTCCCTTTCTTTATTGAACTTGGAAGCACTCTCTCCAGTCCAGACCTAGCAGTAACTGTGTTCAAATTGTGCTCTGCAGGAACATTCCTCACCAGCATTCTTCCATGTAAGTGCCAGTTGTGCACTGGTTTCCCTGCTTTGCCAAGCAACAATCCCAAAATGTTACATAGTACAGATCTTTGGTGGTACCTCACAGGCAAGCATGCATCTAGGATACAGGTTTACATACATGGCTGTGAAACAGGCTGGCAGCTGAATGGAAGTCATCTTCCTACTGATGTGTTTTTTTAATCCCCTCATTTCATAGCATCTTAATCGTTCCTTTTATTGCAGAACATGTTAAACATGTACGTGTTGCAAGCAGCTTAAGAGTCTGGCTGTATACTTTTTTTCCAAGCTCTCTTTCAAACAGTGCTGAGTTTTTGTTTGGTGGCTGAGGAAGTGTGGTGATGTGTTGCCAGTATTTCAATAGGCAAACTTTGGAAAACTGCTGATAAGACACCATGTATAATCTAATGAATGGTTTGAAAAGATTAAAATAGGCACTGTATTATTGTTGGGCTCCTGTCCAGGAGTCCAGATTAAGAACATCACAGTGACCCCAGTCAAGTTCTTCTGGCTGGGGTAGTTTTGAAGTTAATCCTTCGAGCTGAATTGGTGATTGCGTACTTTGCTGTGGCAACTAGTTAGAACCTCCAGCCTCACTGCTGCTGAAATAGGGTTGTAGTCTGAAAAGTAAGCATATATATCTTCACAATTTGGAGGCCCCAGATTGTACCAGTTGCAGCTGTGTTTCAGAGCACAAATCAACATGCCAGCACAAAGCTGCACACCATAAAGCATCGTTGGGAAGCCAGATGGTATCACCAGGGTTCTAATTGCTTTGCAATTGTTTCCATGACACCTCTTTGCTTCCTTTAGGCTGAACAAAATCTGCAGGGACATCTCTCTCCAGCGGAAGAGCCAGTTCATGCAGAGGCTCCACAACTACTGGCTGCTGAAGCGGCAGGCGAGGAATGGAGTGCCGCTGATCCGACGTCTGCACTCACATCTCCAGTCCCAGAGGAATGCTGAGCAGGTACAGCTCTGCCAGCCTGTCCCCTGGCTCCAGAGCATGGCAAGCATCAGGAGTTAGGAATGGGAAAGCCCTTTAAGAGTTTTAAAAACACACAACAATAGCTCTTCTTGAGTCACTTTTGTTCTCCTGTTGGTTTGCTAATATCTAAATAACTGAGTTAGTGTATCAGTGGGATGTCACTGTGTCACCAGAATTGGTGATGATGAGCCAGCAGGTAAGAGTTTTCCACCTGAGTCAGGAGACTTGGGATTGTGCAAAGGCAAGATGGGCCCCTGCTGCTCTGACCCGTCAGATGAGTCAAAGAACCACATTCCTCACTAGTGATTAAGGATGCACTCATTGAGAAAATGGGTGTTAGCTCCAGAGTCCTGGCCAAATTCCAGTTTGGATCATTCTTCTTGCAGCTTGAATTTCTGACCCTTCCATGAACACTCATAAGCAAGTTTAGACATAATCATCAGCTCTGGCCTTCTTTCCTTCCTCCTCTGAGCTGGCATCCAGGGTCAGTTGACGCTGTAAAACAGCACTGTGTTTGGCACAAGCAGTTGGTGAAGTAATGAAATACTAAGACTCTGCCCCGTGACACAGCCAGTTAGTTACTGTGCATTGTGCATCTTTTTACTGTAGTTGGAGGAACTTATAGATTTTTGGTTTGCATAAAGACTGCTCTGGATGAAAAATAAAGAAAATATTTCCCACTCATCAGTTTGAAGCTTGGGGAAGTTCGACATTTCCTTGGTGCATTACGTTAAGTACTTACCATAAGCAAGTTCATAAAAACAAATGTTCTATAAATATAAGCCATCTAGATCATGTGAAGCATTTTTCATCCTTCCCTTGGCAGTCATACAAAAGTGTATACGCTTCAGCTATAGCCTCAAAACCATTTGGAAAGCTACAGATTGAGGAAGGGAAGGATGAACTACGTTGTGAAACCAATGAACCGTGTCCTGGAAACTGTTAGCTCATCTCCCCCGCTTAGCTGTTCCGGTGTGTTTTGGTGAATCTCTTTGTGGCTCAGTTTCCTGGAGGACAGTAATAGCTCTCTTTTTCTGCCATACTTTTGCCTGCCTTGCCTTTGTACTGGAAACCCTTCAGGCTGCTTCTTCGATGTATAACAGCCAACAAAAAGAATTTCCAGCCTCTGTAATGAACTTTGATATAAAGGCAGGGAGAGTGTAAATAAGCATGCAGGATGTTCCTGGAGTTTAGCTACAGTATGACTCAGGCCTAACTTCTGAGATAATGTGAAATCCAGAAAGGCTGCTGTTGTGTGTTCTGCAGTGAAACGCTGTGAGAAGGAGGTGATATAATCTGAACAATAAGACAAGTAGAGAAGAGGAAGACTATGAGAGCAATGCATGGAGGACACCTATAAAAGAGGAGAAAACAAAGGAAGCCAGTTGTTTCCTCATCTTATCCCCCTCCTTATGTGTTACAGAAGGAGCAGGATGAGAGGACGAGTGCAGTGAAGGAAGAGCTGAAATACTGGCAGAAGCTGCGGCACGACTTGGAGAGGGCCCGGCTGCTCATTGAGCTCATCCGTAAGAGGGAGAAACTCAAACGGGAGCAGGTTGGTAGCTTTGGCCGTCGAGTTGCTCTTCAGCACCATGCGAGCACCACGTGTTGTGGAGCCTCTTTCTCTTTTCTGACTTCTGGATGTGCAGAGCAGTTGTCTGTCCCTCGGTCACAGGCTTGTGCTGCCCAGCCTCCGTCCTCAGAATCAGTGCTGGGCTGCAGAGTGCTGGGAAAGTGTATTTGCATACCTAATGGTAAATTATATTTCCAATCTCTATCATCCCTTCTTGAGAAGAAGCAGTTTTTCTCTTATTGATGCTGCCTTGTTGCTAAGCATGTCTTAGCAGATACAGTTTGCTTTGTGTACACAGACTTGCTTTCCTTTGCTATTGAAGTGGTTGATATAATGACATAATGAGGGAATATAAGATCTAAGAAACTAAAACGTTAAAAGAGAAATAAATACTATTATCCTGTTCCACTCTCCTTTGAGTGGAGTCGCAGCGTAAGAGATCAAAACAACACTACAAACTGTTTCCTTGAAATCAAAACAGTGTTAGAAAATCCACAGAGTGTAAAAAATCTATTGGGAAACTTGCTTACTTCTAACCAGTGTTGTTTGGCTCTGCCTTGATGTGTGAGATCTTGTATGTTAAACTTTGTACTCACTGCTCTACTTATGGATATTGTTTGTGTAAATGCCTAAATAGTTCTAACTTTTTGATAACGTTGCTAATTGGCATCGTAGTATCTCAGGATAAGGAGTTCTACAGGATGATTTACCAGCACAAAAAGCATCTTGTCTTCATTTTCAGTTGTATTATCTTCTAATTTTATGGGGTTTCCTCTTGTTTTGGCTCTATGAGATTGAATAAAAAGGAGTTCCTCATACAAAAAGTTTAGAGTCTATTTGCTGTCTATTAATGTGCATCCTGCACAGGGAGAGGAGAGGACAAGCTGTTTGCCAGAAATTTCTCAGCAGTGAGTCTGCAGGCCAGTGGTGTGATGATGACCTGAGGTTTCCACCGCTGAGTGGAGCTGAGTTGATGTTTCAGGAGAAACCAGCAGAAAAGTTTGCTTGTCCCATCCTTGGTAACTGTGCTCATCGCTGTTTTCCTGTTCCCAGGTGAAGGTTCAGCAGGCTGCTATGGAGCTACGGCTGACGCCATTCAATGTACTTCTGCGCACAACACTGGACCTGCTGCAGGAAAAGGATGCTGCCCAGATCTTTGCAGAGCCTGTTAACTTGGACGAGGCAAGTCTTCTTCCTAGGGGTGTCTGATGGGTTGGAGATGAGGTATTGCTGGGCAGAAACTCAAGTACTGTCATAATTTGGGAAGCACAAACCACCTTATCCCGAGCTGCTGGTGGACTAAAGAATATTTCAGAGGACTCACAGTGTGGGTATCTTTCTAGGCCAGAATAAGGTTTCTGGTTTGTTTTCTGGAAGCTTCAGTGCGTCTCAGACGAGTAATGTTTTGGAGAGACAATATGTGTGCCTTGCCTGGATGACACAGAAATAAAGTGCTGGCATTGTCCCTTGCAGGTGGAAAGGGCATTCAGAGTGCTTATGATGGGTGCGCTCTAGTTGGCTAGTAAATGGTTTTTGTAATTGTACAGGTTTTATATGTTTAGGTTCCAGATTACCTGGAATTCATTTCCAACCCAATGGATTTTTCCACCATGAGGCGGAAGCTGGAGTCCCACCTGTACCGAACATTGGATGAGTTTGAGGAAGACTTTAACCTTATAGTTACCAACTGCATGAGGTATAATGCTAAAGACACGATTTTCCACCGAGCAGCTGTCCGGCTCAGAGACCTCGGAGGAGCGATATTGCGTCACGTGCGGCGGCAGGCTGAAAGCATTGGCTTTGACACTGATGTGGGGATTCACCTGCCCGAGTCACCCAAAACCGAGGACTTTTACCGCTTTTCTTGGGAGGATGGTGAGTTTTATTAACCTTTATTTTCAGGATGGATCGTAACCGCGTGCCTTGTTCTGAGCGTGTCATTCAGTTTGTGAGAAAACCACGATGACGGTTCAACAGAACAGCATTTTTCCATCCTTCCACTTACATAAGCATGTATCTGACTCCTTCGTAGCCTCAGGATTTCAGGCAGGCTGGAGCTAGGTACAGTTGAGCTCCAGCTCTTCCAGTGCATGTTTGCCTCAGAAAAGTATTTTATCTGCCTGTGATATTTGATATTTGCCTTGGATGTATTACAAACTTAGTATGTTAAAGAAGAGTGCAATGTGGGTCTAGAGTTTTTTGTTCTGAGCAAAGATCATATGTTTCAGTGTAAATCAGAGCAATGATCATTATGTTCTTGTGGCAGTTAATTATGAAGACAGTTCTGTGTTGTTCAGGGGCTGAGGTGAGACTGTTTTCCTTCTCCGTTTCTGTGATTCTCCTGGTTAAAACGTGGCAAATAATCAGGCAGAACACAATGGAAAAACTGACATGATTTCACCCGTATTCTAGAATTGCACAGGAAGTGCAAAACATCTCAGTGTAGGTAGCAAATTGACACGGGGTAGACCAACTAGATTAGATGAATTGCTATGGGCTGGAAGGGGATGATATGGGATTATGGTACAGGACCCAAGCAGTCCTTGGGAAGACTTTCTATTCCCATTCATTTTTGCAAAGGACCTGGACTGCAAGCTGTCTTGTGTAGGTTGCAGACACTTCTTCAGCTGCTGTGTCTGGGACAGTAATGGGAGCAGGAAGGCAGTGCAAGTTAATTCAGCTGCTCATTACCAGATGGAGGAAGTCTGGAACTCTAAAGTTAACAATTCCTAAATACCCAAACTAAAGCAATTGGTTCATAAATAACGTTGATGGTAATGAGGCATGGCTGTGATCCCAAATATCACGAGTGGAGTTCCATTCTCCAAAAAGCCATGCTCTTTCCCTTCACTGTTACAATTTCTTTTGATGCAGTGGACAACATCCTCCTGCCAGAGAACAGGGCTCACCTCACCTTGGAGGCCCAGCTGAAGGAGTTGCTTGAGAAGCTGGACATAGTGAGCCCTATGCGGTCCAGCGGCGCCCGGACACGACGCATGCGGCTCCTGAGACGGGAGATCAACTCTGTTCGGCAGAAGTTGGCCCAGCAGCAGAGCAGGACCGTGGCCAACGGGGAACCTGTTCTGTGGGAAGAGGGGCTGGATAAAACGTCGAGAGAAGAGGACGAGGAAGGGGACAGAGGTGAGATGTTGTAGCAGGGCGCTGCCTCCAGTTCTCTCAGTGCATGTCAGCAGGTAACAGCTGCTGTTCATACTACAGGGAGTATGAAGTGGTTTGGTAGCTCTAGGAATAACTCTTTCTAAAAATGTTCAAGTGGATTCTTTATTCCTTTTGCAGATGATGCCAAGCTCCCACATCCTCCCACCCTGGAGCCCACAGGACCTGCACCCTCTTTCTCAGAGCTGGAATCGCTGCAGGACCCTCCAAAACTCAAACCCATCCATGACAGCAAGACCTTGAACCAGCTGCAGAAGAAGGTGACGTCAGACAGGGATTTCTTTGACAAGAAGGCACTGCAGCGGGAGAGCCAAGCTTTCCAGCTCCTGCTCAGTGACAGCAGCCTGAACGGACTCGCCTTGCCACCTGCAGACAGCCTCATGAGCCCCCCCTTCAGTGGCGTGGGCCGACGGACATCTGTTCTTTTTAAAAAAGCTAAAAATGGGGTGAAGCTGCAAAAAGGCCCGGACTGCTCCCTGGAGAATGGAGAGGACCGCGAGCAGCTTTTGCCCTCCTGTGCCAATGGGGAGCGACAAACCCGGAAGCGGCCACAGGGCAGGAATTACAGCGAGAGCGATGGAGAGAAGTCACCCAGGCAGGCAGGGCAGAGAGGTGATTCCATGGGATTTATCTTCCCTTTGTCCACATGGAAACTGCAGATTTAGGGCTGAGAGTAGGAATGCTGCGTCTGAGCTGCTTATGTGAAGCTCTGTGTGTGGAGGTGACACAGTTGCCATAACCAGAGGTGCCTGAGAAAAGCCCATTCTCTTCTGCAGATTCCTAACAAAGAGCTGACAAGACGTGTCTGTAATGAATTGCACCCTTATTCTCCACTGACTGTTCCTGGAGTTTGTGGTAACAGCTCAGCTATAGACACCTCTGGTTTAGATATTTAATAACGAGATGAAATCCAGGGTGGGTCACAATTTATTCTTCTTTTTGCCAGTTACAGCAGGGTTACTGTAAGAAAGTCTTCCACCTTAGGAAGGACAAGCCCAGCTGCCTGCAAAGATGTTGAATGGCCTGGCTAAAGGCTCTGGTGTTTCCAGTAAAGGATGAGAAATGTTGGTGTTCCTGCACTCACGGGAAGCTTTGCATAGGCCGCTTTTAGGAGTGAGTTTCTTGCTGCAGAAAGGTGCCTTTGGTTGAAAGTGTGCAGTGGACCAATGCAGTAAGAGATGGTAAACATTGCTTTTAAACCAGCTACAACCCTCAGTTCTGAGATTGAGATGAAATTATTGGGAAGACTGAGCATGTTCTTTTCAAATTTGACCTGCAAGCATCTGAGATCAAATTTAGAAAAACATGCGGTAAAAAGGAACATTTGAGTGACAACAGTGTGATTGCTTTCCAGTTCTCTGTTAACTGCCATCGTGGGACAGCTCCCACACGAAATATTTGAACTAGCTCATACTTCAGATATCTCCTTAAAGTTATTTGGCTGTCAGAGGCTTGTTGGTAGATAGAGTGGGAGGAGAGCAATTGAACACTGGGAACAACTCACCTGAACAGGTTAAAGAAGACGCAAAGGGCTTCTCCAAGGAGAAGCTGCTGGTGAAGGGACTGTAGTGGAAATGCTAAGTTAGGGCTTGAAGCACTGATGGAGCAGCTGCTGGGAAGGCAGGGTCAACCCAGGAGAGCTCAGGTGCCTGCAATGCAGCTGATTGACTGGAAGGAGTGGAGCCAGGATCCACCATTCTCAGACCTCATTTAAGGTTGGCAGTGGAGGTGAGGGTATCTTTCTGGAGATCCCTGCCTACCTGAGGCCTTCTGAAGGTAGGCAGCTTTTCTTCCTTCATTTCTGTATTTGTGGCTGCTATGTTTGGGCTTATCCTTATTTGCTGTGGTCTAGGGTTGTACCACCCTGCTATTATTACTGTGCTTTCCATCACATTATAGTGTTATAGGGACTTGCTGTTGTTGCCTGCCAGTACAGAAAGCAAAGGGGAGTTACTCGGAGTGGATAAAGCTTAGAAAGAGAAGCTGAGATTAAAAATGGAATAGCATAGGCATGGCACCAGAAAATCACTGATAATTAGGCAGTGATGTTTTTTCTCTGCTGATGAAGCAGTGTTTTTTGCTGAATTGCAGCACTGCTTTTGTGATTCACTTCCTTCCACCGTTTCAAACAGAACTGATGTCTCCTAACTGAGGGAGTGTCTGGTATGTCAGATCTGTGTTACTGCAGAAGCAGATCAGGGTGATCAGGATTGTCAGAACAAGGTGTTTCCCAGCAGTGTGCTCCTTGTGCTAGTTAAAGCTGGAAAAATAATAGTAGCCTTGGCATGTATTTCCCCTTTGTGTGGCTGTTGAGCATTTGATGAACTCAAGGGCTCCTTTGCTGTCCCCAAACACTTTTCTAGCACTTACTTCTTCAAAAGCTGCCTAGTTTTCCATGTGTGGGGAGTAGAAATAATTTTCGTTAGTCACCTTCTGCTTCCAGCTGGGTCTGGAGAACTCAATGCAGAACTTTTCTGCTTTTAAAGCACTCGGTGTCTTTGTGGCTGATCCTGCCTTTCTGGAAGCGGATCATCAGGCCTTCCTGATATCTGTGTGTTGGTGGTGTTTCTCTGAGCCAGTTCCCATTTGTCTCCTTGGCAGGAGTCACCAACGGCTTTGCAAAGCACGCAGAGAGCAGCGCAGACCCTGAGCGCAGCCCCAGTGTGGGCAGTGGGCTGCTGTTTGAAACCTGCAGGTAAGGCTCTGTGCTCTTCCCCAGAATACCTCCTTTCTGGATTAATTGGTTTGACTTCTGTCATTTGACTTCTTTGCTTAAAACCTAGCTTTTCAGGCTCCGTGCTGTCCTGCTGTGCCATAGGTCTCAAAACAGTGCTTGATTTCAAAATGTTACACTTCTGTTTCTCAGTATGAGTATGTTCTCTTTGCTGATGTGTATTTTCCTGGGCTTCTTGAGAGCCAAAGCTGCAAAGCGCTTTGATCTCAAGTGAGCAGCCCAGCACCACAGGTGAAATTGAACATTCACTGAGCTCTCCCCATTTCTACGTGCTTTGTGCCCAAACGTTCAGAGAAGTCGTCATTGCCTCTTCTGTAAGGTGCAGGTCTCCCACAAAATTATTTCAGTACAGTGTTGTTAGACAGGGAGCTGCCTCAGTGGGTACAAAAAGGAGAGATGTGGATTCGTGCATAGCTGTGGTGCCGTGGGGGCCCTTGAAATCCTTCGTGGCTCACTCCGAACAGGAGCAGGAGCCAGAAGCTCACTTCAAAACCATGTCTTGACCTCGTGGATCCACCTTATTTACCTCAGTTTCTCCATAGGGAAATGAGAGAGGAAACTCTCTCACGTTTTACAGGGGAGTGTGGGGGCTTGTTAGTTGGTGTTTATGAAGACAAAAAGTGCTATAGAAGTGCTTATCGTGGTAATTGCAAGCAATTCACGTAGCAAAAATTACATTAGAGCTATGCTACACCCACAAAACAAGGAATTAAAAAACAAGCTTATGTCTCCTGGATAACTTGTACAGTTATTCCATTTATGAGCAGCTCTGTTTACTGCTTTTTCTCCACTCTTCTTGAGCATCAAATGCACTTGGGTGTTTTTTTTAGGAAATTATGAAAAAGAATTACAATAAGTGGAAAAGACATGATTGCTTCAGGTGGGATCGTTTTCTGAAATGCTTGTAGTAACGAAGTGGAAGCATGTTTAGGCTGTGGACTGTTGCTGATAGAAAGCAACATGTTGGAGTGTTACTCTGTCCTCTTTGAAGTCTGTGCACAACTGAGTGAGCTCATGTGACTTCCAAGCATCGCTGTGTCAGCTGTGCAGTACAAAGCCTTGGTTGGGTTCCTTCTTTGTGTTAACAACAGGGCTTTTGTTGGCCCCCTTCACTGCTCATGGAGAAGCTGAGATGATGCCCAATGTGCTTGCACCAGGGGAGACATTGTGCTCAGGTATTCAGTGTTCTTATCACACCAGGGATGCACTAGTGCAGTTAACTTCCAAATTATAAACAGCTGGGGACGGTTTATTTGGTGTGTTTTTAAGGGTAATCTGTTTTTCCCTATTCTGACAGTGGTTTGATGCCTCCTAAGCGAAGTCGAGGGAAGCCAGCCCTTTCTCGGGTGCCCTTCTTGGAAGGTGTGAATGGAGACTCTGATTACGGCAGCTCAGGTGAGAATGGCTCACAGGAGCTCAGCTTTACAGGACACCTCTGTCGTGTCCTGCAGCACAGGAGGGCTGACATCCTACCTGAACCAGGGGAAGCAGTTCTCAGTGCATGTTGGAAGCCGGTCCTGCAGGAGCTACCCAGGTTACGCAGGCAGGATGCTGACCTGTGCTGTGTGTTAACGTGCTGCTTTTGACTAATTCAGGCTATTGCGTGTTTGCTTCTGCTTTCACTTGTGCTGGTTGCCTGTGCCCTGAGTTCTGCTCAGGTAGGTGCTTATTGTTAGTCTGGAGTGATGTGCCTGGTGCTGCCCTCTCCAGATTTACAACTAGTTCTCTGTCACGACAGTGCAATGCAAACAGTAAATCCTAATTATAAGAGATGGCTCTCTGGAGATGACTTCATAGCTGTTTCCTCTCCTATTGCTGTCTTTCTTTTCAAGGTCTTGGTAACAAAGTCAGTATCTTTGTCAGACTGCTGTACAGCGGTGTAAGTAAGTAGCACTCCTAACTACCCAAAGCAGTGCAGTAATGTAGCAGCACTCCTGTGACCAGACTCTCATCTTGGTTATGGTTTGTCATTGAAAGAGTTACTGCAGGTTTATGATGGTGCTGCTGAATCAGAATTCAGCTTTGACCCTCCTGCAGGATCTAGGATGGAGTCCCTTGACTGCCTGCACCCTGTGCTCACCACCCTGCTTAGAGATAAACTTACAGAGTGGGGCTGTATTGGTAGAACTAGTGTCATTTTGTTCTGTGTCTTATAAGATTATTTCATTAACAGATGAATATGTTTGTCATGTAATAATGGTGAAGCCCATCAGATCTGGCTTGGCAGTGCATTCGTGTTGTATTCAGTGTTTTCCAGACTCGGTTTGACTTCTAGTAAAGTCGTGTACTGTCCATTCCCCAGGATGTAAGCACTGCTTGCTGTGAGATTTGCAGTAAGGCAGATTGCTCCTTGACCAGGAGCTAGCAGGTGAGTCATTCATGTCTTGAATGGATCTCCTGCAACGTTTCTTACCTGAGTTTGAAAAAATTGTTAGCTAACACTTCTGTCAATGGGAACCAGGCATTTCCTGCAAAAATCAAATAGTCCCAAAGCCAGTGACATCACAGCAGTCTGGGCATTTGCATTTTGGAGGAATGAAAAAGAGCTCTCTGAACAGTGGCCCAAAGCAATCTCGGATGCAGCTTCATCAGTTTCACTGAGGACAGATCCGGCTCGGTGGGCCTTGGGCCCTCCTAAGCCATGTATTCTTCTGTCCCTTAGGCAGAACTCTCATGATGTCCTTTGAGAGTCAGGCTGAGCTGGAGCCCTTGGAGCTTGTGTGGGCAAAGTGCCGTGGTTATCCCTCCTACCCTGCCTTGGTAAGTACCTTCTGCTCTCTTGCAGTCTGTAGCAGCAGTGCAGGCAGCCCAGAACGCAGCACTAGTGTGCAGCGTAGCCAGACGTAAAAGAAAACTTCCCAAAGCCATGCAGTATGTGGCTGGCTTTTTTCTTCCCTTTGCACTGTTAATTTTTCCTGTGCTCACTGTTTCAGAGCATTGGAGAGAATTCACAGAACACTGCTCTCTCGGTGCCAGAGGAGGTCTCTCCTCTCCTGTTCACTCTCCAGTTCACATCTTGTAGCAGTGTAGATCTGAGCAATTCCACTGAAGCCAATAGAACTGCACCAAAATGGATCTGCTGTGAAATATGTCATGCCTGCTGAGTGCAGCACTGATGTTGAATTTATTGTGCAAGTTTGGAGAGGGAGGGAAATCTTTTGCTGAACACAATGCTGACTTTGTCCTAAATGACCAGTTATCATATGTGCACCTGTATCCACACAGAACCTACTTCCTTTTCCCAAGTTCACATGCTCGGTTTTTGGACTGACTGGTTTCCCTTCCACAGGAGAAGCCTTGAAGATAGGATGCGTAAGCAAAACTGCTTGCTCTGCCTCAGTGTCTCTTTGAAAAAAAATTTTCCTAAGTAGATTTTAATAATCTAGCTTGGATAGACTGAAAGAGCAGGAAAAAGAATGCATTTTCTGCAGTTCTTGAAAGGGTTTGTGCTTAAATGTCCTTCCTGTGTCACCAGATAATCGATCCCAAGATGCCACGTGAGGGGCTGCTCCACAATGGAGTCCCCATCCCAGTCCCACCCATGGATGTGCTGAAGTTGGGGGAGCAGAGACAGACAGAGGCAGGCGAGAAGCTCTTCCTTGTCCTTTTCTTTGACAACAAGAGAACCTGGTGAGTGGATGCAGACAGGCTGGGGCCTCTGGTGAGTGCCATGGCAGAGAAGAACGTTTTGATTTCCTCTTTTAGTAGAGGGGAACACACAGGTACCACTGTTACGGTAATGTTACATGGAAATTGGCGAATTTAAATGTGCAGTTGTCAAGAAAAGTGAGGAAGATGGCCTGCTTTTCCCAGTCCCAAGAACAGGACATCTCCATTGCCACGGTGAACAGCAGAACGTCCTCCACCTAGAGATCACATCATCACAAATTACTCAGGCACATGAAGAGCCCTGGGCTGCCAGTGTTGGCTGCCTGTAAAATGCACTGAGCTGAGATGTGACTCCCAGGGGCCGGACTTCATTCAGAAAGGTGCTGCCCTTCTTAGTGTGATACTTAACCCGGGCCAATGAGTGCACACCAGGCTTGGTACAGACTGAGGGCTTGCAACTTGAGACTTTTTTGGTCAGCTTGGACGTGGGGTGTGAGTACTGGAAGCTGCCTGTTTCTGGATGATACTCAGACACTTGCACTCACCCCAGCCGTGGTGCTTACAGGCTCCTGGAAGGCAGAGTTCTCTGGTGGTAAAACTTACTTGGAATTCCCTATGTCTGCTGCTCTGTGGGATACAAAAATTTCCCAGTTTCCCCTGGAGCTCTAAGGAGAATTGAAAGGTTTGAGGAAGGAGAGTCAAAAGAAATCAGTGCTCGTGCAGGAGGGTATTTTGGCTGCAGATGCTTCTCCCGTGTCCAATGCTGGCATTTAAGCATTCACAGCACTATTGTAGGGGGTTAATTTTTTTTTTTTTTAAAAAGTAAATCATATGAAAGTATCTGTTCCTGGGGAGAACAGTGACCAGTGATTAATTGCTCCTGAGGGGCCGGAGTACTTGGCCACGTCTTGGTGGCTCTTGGGCCGATCCCTTGGCCTGCTGCAGCTGTGCAGCAGAGCCGGCACACGGAGCAGCCTGCCTCCTGCAGAGAGCTCAGCCAAAGGCTGCAAGAGGCCTGCAGGTACTTGCTCTCCTTTTCCCCCATCCCTGCCCCGATGCCCTTGGTGACAGGGTTTGGTGCTCTCCTTTCTGCTGCAGGCAGTGGCTTCCACGTGACAAGGTCTACCCTCTCGGCGTAGATGACACTGTGGACAAGCTAAAGATGATGGAAGGACGAAAAACCAGCATCCGCAAGTCCGTGCAGGTGGCGTATGACAGAGCCATGATTCACATGAGCCGCGTGCGGGGGGATCATCCCTTCGTTCCGTCCAGCTACCTGTGAGCGTTGCGCGGCCGGTCCTCGGTCCTCCTCCGGGCGTCGCTGTGTCGGCACAAGGAGCCCGGCGCCGTGCGGCCGAAGCGCCCCGCCTTCCCAGCAGTGGGCGGCGCTCCTCGAGGTGGCCGCTGCGCGCCAGAGAGGCCGTGGGGTTCTTTGTGAATGTGTGCTGCTGAAGGGCTGGCAGGAGACGAAATGTTCGGTGTGCGGGGCCAGGAGCGAGGCGTTAGGAAAAGCTGCTGGGTGGCGGGAGCCACGGCGAGCTGCTACAGCAGAGCTCGACGCTGAGATGTTTGGACCTCGTGCGCACTTTCTTGCTGCTGCCTCCTCCGTGCTGCCAGGAGTTTGGGTGTCAGTCAGCCCTGAGTCATTCCCTGAACCCATTGCCCCTGTAAGCAAACCAGGATCCTGTACAGAAATCACAGCTGGGCTTTCTTGTGCCAAACTTACTCTGACCGTCACTGGCCTTTTTGTTTTTCTAAATGAAGTTGATTGTCCCATCACAGAAATGGTAGCAGGGAGGCAGTATCACGATTTTCCTGCCTACGTGCATCGTGCTTTACGTTAGATTTCTTGCATTGCGTTTGGAAATGAGTGAGGTATTTTGGTAACTTTCCCCTCTGCTGCACACACATACATGCAGGTGCACAGAGCTTTAAATATGAAAAACAAATTACCTGTGGTGTTTTTTGGTGTGCATTTATGGCCTAGAAATGTATTTGGTAGTTTCACACTTAAATTTGGATTTCTGTGACTATGCTCATTGCAGTAGCAGTTCATACCATGGTTTAGTACAGCCTTGAGTCTAAGCAAAGATGACTTCTTTTTCTGAAGAAACAAAGCTGATTCTGGAGGTGCCTGTGCTGGGGCAGCTCTGTAGGCACTGAGGTTGATCAGGGTTGGAGGGAGACGCATCGCTTGTGTTGCTGGATGCACATTTGGTGTCAGGCTCCTCTTCCTTTCTTCTTTCTGTCTCTTTCAAGTTCTCCTCTGGCTTGGTTTGGGTTGAAACCAAGCACTAAGTAGAGCACACGACCATTTTGCCTTTTTGCCTTCTCTCACATTCATGCATCCCTTCCTGCTGTGTGGGTCTCCAGCATTGTCATCCATTAAGAAACAAACCAGCCTGGCTCTGCTGCAGCCCCTCTTTGCTTTCTGAGTTTGCGTTGCAAAAATGGGCAGCCGATGTTTGGAAACAGCCGACAAACCCTTTTCTATTAGCCAAGGACTTAAAATTTCTCTGATCTCTTCTATTGTGTGTTCCCTTTTTCTGCTTTCCCATTTTAAGAACCAAAGGTGCAGAGCAAGATTGTAGATTGAATATCACCATTTTGCTTTTTAACTCGATATTTTTTTATTATTTTAACTTTTTCATACTGAAGAGAATGTGGGGTCAAAATAATAATAATGAACAGTGGGGAGCAATCACTGCCATTTCTACGTGGTCTACTTTTTTAGAAATACCAATTCTTATACATTGGACGCGGAGCCACACTTTAAGGAAGATTCCTTTAACAGGCAGAGACGGGGCATAGGATTTTGTAAAACAGAAATAATGCCTCTGGGGTGTGGCGAGGGAAGGACGTTCTGTATATAGCTGTACAGTACTGCTCTAAGTTATTGAGACTTACTGTCACCATTCTTGAAGTCCTCAGTCGTGTCGCTGGGTCTTTTATATGCACACAGTGTAACTTAAAGGAACATACACTTCTCTGGGTGGTAACTCAGCTGTGGACTTGTGACCTGTGTACGTTTTCAGAATCTGGGATATTATTTTTTTGGTTGGTTGTTTTTAAATGACATTTCACAATGGGAAGTGGCTGATCTGCTGTTTGCTACGGGCCCGAGACGTGACTGTCACTGCTGTAAAGCACAGATTGCTCTATTTATTGTAGAAAGTGAGTTTATTTGCTTTCTAGAATTGTTTATATCAGATGGTATAAGAGAGGTAATAAGAAAATCTATGCTTGTAAAGAAAAAAAATGCTAATTTTACCTACTATAATCTGACTGTCTGAGACTATATTTTCTCTCTGAGAAATAAATGTTCTACAGTATTAAACAAAGGATTTCTGCTGTTGTGCTTCTTGGGTAGGCAGTGATGGCAGCAGGTGCTGTGGATGTGTGAAGGCTCTGCTCAGTGCCACATCCCTGCTGAGGGGGAAGTGGAGGCAGAGCAGGGCTCCCTGGTTCCTGATCAGGCACTGCCGTTCCCACTCACTCTTTTCTCCCCCCTTTAGCAGAGGGAGCTCAGCCCACCTGCTGCTGCACAGCTGACACACATGGGCTGATGCAGGCATGAAGCAGCTGTGAAGAGGAACAAAGGGAAGGAGGACTTGGAGGGAGGGTGGCCTCACAGTGCCTCCTGCAGGTGAGTTTGTTCCTTGCTGCAGGAGGGGACCCATCTGGCAGCCCTTGGCCTGGGGTGGCTGCAGAGCCCCAAAGGGATGGGAAGTGGGAATGTGGGGTGTGAATCCCATCTCTGGGCTCTGCTTGTGGGCCTGGGGGCTCCTGCAGCACCAGGATACAGGCAGAGTCCTCCAACAGATGGAGATGGGAGCTAGGTGCTCCAGTGTGGCTCTCTGAGCATCACTCTACCCTGAGGAGCATTCTTCTCCCTGTGCTGATTCCAAGCCTTCTCCTTTTCCCTCCACATGTGTGACCTGACCCAGCAGAATGAATGAAGGACAGTTTCTGTAGCCAGGAGGGTGTTGTGGTGCACAGCTGCCTGGCATACACCTGCAGCCTATGTGAAGACATCAGAATGCATTAAAAGGTGAGTTATTAACATCTTCTTAATGTTTTCCACCTGTTGCAAGAAGGATCAAGCTCCCTGCAGCTTCTTCCTAGGGAAGGTCTGAAAAGCAGTTCTCTGCAGCCCTACATCAGTGCCTGCCCCTCCACTTCCCTGCTGCCATTTTTGGGTGGGATTATTACATACCAATAAAACCTTCCCTCCACCTCCTTCATCATTTCCTCCTTGTCCTTGAACAAATGAAATTATGACTTACTGAATTATTCTGTGGATAAAAAGTTTCCATGACATTGGCATCTCCTGTGCCTGGAACCATCAGCAACTGCCCCCAGCTTCTCCCTGTGAGCCAGAAATATAGGAAATGAAAGTGAGGAGCCATAGGGAAAGGATTAAAATCACAAGAGCAGAGATCTTACAGTGACTTTGTAGGGTCTCAGGTTTTTGTGTTTTGTTTTTTTTTTTTGGGGGGGGGGGGGAGGGTAGGGATTATGCTGTGACTTCAACTCTCAATTAGTGCTTTCCCTTAGTATGGTGCTAAAAGGTTTTGTGGAGTGGGAGAATAAGGCATGAGGGAGGAATGTGACTTACCCAAAGGCCCTGGGGGCAATGAAGGAGCTTTTGTGCAGTCAACACACAAGCAGGTGCCAGACCGCCCCGAGCTTCTGTTGATTTTTCTTTTTTTAATGAGTTATGTCAAACTGCCAAAGAGCAGCAAAGGTCTGGCTCAGAGAAACCACAGAAGGTGCACACTGAAATAAAGGAGAAGTCTAACTGCCCAAGAAGAAAAAAGCAACTCTGGATTAGGAAAGCAGTTTCTTGAGACACTGGAGTTTTATTGGCAACAAGGCTCTGCTTTTCACATGCTCAGCCCCTGCTGCCCCTTCCCACAGGGCACCTCCATGTTCTGCCCCAAGAAATGTGGGGGTCATATTTCTCCCCCCCCCCTGCAGCCCTCCGCAGGAGGGAGACAGAAGGAAACCAGCCTGATAAAACATTCACAATTGGTTTCATTTAAGAACCCAGGGTGGTTTCTGGCTGCGTTCTCTCGGAGGATGCATCCGCACTGTAGGGAGCAGTAGGCACAGCCAGCACCGCACTGGGGATCCTTGGTGCCCAAGAGCCCACTGGTGGCACTGCACCATGGTGCCCTGCAGCACCATACCCTGTATCTCCTCAACCTGCTCTCAGCTCCCATCCCCTTCCAACTCCCACGCTCCTCGTTGCAGGGGAAGCCTCGAGATACACGTTTCTGACACACACCTTCCTGACAAACTCAACACTCCAAACACGTCAGGGCAGAAATACCCGTGGCTCTGACTTCACCCCACTTCCAGAGGGGAGGTGGGAGGCCATGGAGAGGACAGGGAGAACGAGGGACCCACGTTATAAATATAAAATCATATCTGCTACAAATGGAGGACATATATTGTACATCTCTGACCCATATACACAAGAACACAATATACACAGAACGCCTCGGAAGAGCAGGGGCTGTGCAAGGAGTTTCAGAAGTCCCCCTGCTGCCCTCACGCCGATGGCACATCAGAGCGTCTCGTCACAGCGGTGTGCATCATGCAGAGCACATGGGGGGGTTAAGCCCCACCGTGCCCACCACGCTGTCTCACACCTGAAGAAAGGCAAAGAGGAGGGAGAGGAGAGGGCAGGTGGGAGCAGCTCCCTCGTGAACCCACAAGGCTTGAGGAATGAAGCTGGGCCCTGAGAAACTTCTCGCCCTGCAGCCCCAGGGAAGTTCTCCAGCCAGTCACTGATAAGGCATTTTTGTCTGGGAGCTGGATCGAACTGCAGCTGAAGAGAGAAGGGAGCAGACGGGGCAGCACACACATGTGAGGCACGAGCATGTGTGTACACAGGTGCAGCAGTGGGCAAACGTGTCACAGCATAGCAAGGCAACCAGCAGCTGGACAAGCCCAAGGCAGGGCTGGGAGAGCTCAGTTATCTGTAGAGCTGTCCCCTGCCCCTTCAAGCTTCTCTCCCTGGCTCAGGCCCCCAGCACAGAGTGAAATACTGACAGTGGTTGGAGTGGCACATCCAGGTGTGTGGAGTGGCAGACAGGCACGCAGAAGAGTTGAGTCAACGTGAGCTTTGTACAGCGAAGAGCAGCTCCCAGCTGAAGCATCCGAGGACGTGGATGACAAAATGCCACAGTGATCAGATGGGCCAGGAGGAGGAGGTGGGCAGAGGAGGGAGTTGAGTCCTGGCACCTATCGGCGGTAATGATTGGGAGCGTCTGCAAACATGTACTTGAGTCTGTAGGCTTCAGCAAGGAGGAGCCCGATTTCTTCATTGCCCCAGTGTATCGTCGGCAGGTTTTGTAACAACATTAGAAGGCCCTGGAAGAGAAGATGCTCACACTGGGGCAGCTGATGGCAAAATACAGACCCAGAGGAAGCCCAGGGACAGAATGAACAGAGGCAGCAGCATTCAGGAGTTTTGGGTCGCCATGCTGGCAGGTTTGAAAGGCTCAGGAGAGCATTAAGATGTGCTCGTGTCAAGTCTGAACAAGTGAAACACCCTCAGAAGCCCTGAAACCTCTTGCAAAAAAGGGTGCTCCCATCAGACAGCAAAAGGCAGCCACTGTAGGACTCACTGCGCTCAAAGCTCAAACCTAGGAAAGAGCTGGTATCTGTCCAACTGTTCAGTCCTCTGCCCTGAGCACAAAGGCTACAGGTTACTTCTGAGCAAAACTCCTGAGACTGGGTGATCTTAGAGCCAGTTTTGAGATGACAGCTGAGCTGCCATCACATATCCAGATCCATTGTGGGCTCCCACCCGAGGCAATTCCCTCCCTTTTGCCCAGAATTAGCCCCACACACTGGGGACTCACCTGGAAGTCTTCCTCATCCAGGATCTCCTTCCGCCACTTGATCAAGAAGGCGGCACAGACATAGAGGTGGAAATGCGAGAACCCCTCTGGCTCTGACTGTAGGCAACAAAACTCTGGGTCAGCTCCTATGGCTCTGCTGCAGCACAGCTCCTCCAAACATGTCCATGTCCCCTTCAGCTGTCTATAAGCACCCCAGAGGCCACACTTTGCTCCTCTAACCTCCCCAGCTGCATGGCGCCTCACCTCCCTGTGCGAGGAGATGGCCCTACAGAGAGCAGCCAAGAAGGGATGGCAGCAAGCGCACGTACCTGGTAGGTGTCCCAAAGGCGGATTGTGCAGCGAAGAGGCAGCTCCCTCATGAGCAGATTGTTCATCCAACGAAAGGCAAACTGCAGGTATTCAACTTCGTACTTCCTAAAGTGATTATGTACCTGCTCTGAAACAGCACAATTCACTTACACACCTGGGGATCACAGCACCCAAGCTCCTGCATAAGGCACTGTCCAAATCATGATGGCTTACGTGTACTTCAAGGCTGAGGTCTCACAAACACCTCCACCGCTCACCTCATCCTACCTTGCCAATGAAATCCCTCCCCCAAGAGCCTTTTGGCCAACCATGCTCTGCCCCTACTCACTGTGGGCAAGCATCTACTCCTTGTACAGAGGCTTCCTTCCTACTTGCAAAGAAAGCCTCTCACTGTTGTGACAGAAGTCTTCCCCCATTCAAATTCCCTTGTCACCTACCATCAATCCGGCTCACAAGCTCCTCCAGAGCTTTGACTTTCTTCTGGATCCCTGGCTGTGCAAAGGTGTAGTTATCCTGCAGGGAAAGGCCATCAGTCAGAAGCAGCAGCTGCAACAACTGGAAATGACCAAAACCAGATCCCCAGCTCTGCACCAGCCAAGGACATACGGCACCTGATTGCCAGGATCTGTCTGCTGTGAAGTCCCCAGTAATTGGGAAGCTGGGACAGCGCTGGCTGCACTGCACAGCTGCAGCTCTTTTCTTCCCTGGGATTTTGCCCCCACATCATGCCCAAATGTCCATTAATGCTGAGTACATTGTCAGAGAACAAACGTAGGCACAACTCCAATTTTAAATGCTAGGAGTGCTGCAGGCCCAGCTAGTCACACACTAGTTCCAAGGGATACAGCGAGAAGGCAGTGGTGCTGCTGCATCAGGCAAGGGGAGACATCTCTGCGGCTCCAGTTGCTCACCTGTATCCCATCCAGCAGCTTGCTCATGCACCAGAAACTATCAGCTTCGATGCTCCGTAAAACATCCTGTGACAAGTTTGTCACATCAAAGTTCTCCACGTCCTCTTCTGCAAAACAGACAAGGAGGAGAATAAAGGGGATGGGGGGCACCAGGTGGTTCACAGGAACACCAAGAAACTTTAAGGCTCCTTGCATGCAACTGCCAGCAAGCTGAAATGAACAGCTTTCCCAGTACAAAGTAGGACACCTCTGCATCGACCTGCTTCTCCAGGCCAGGAGAGCACCAGCACCCAAGATACTCAGCAACCACGATCTGAACCCAGCCCAGCTGCTCAGGAGACCAGGAGAGTCTCTGCTGCTGCTGTCACTCCTGAGAGGCCAGAGCAGTGCATGCATGAAGGCTCTGACATGGGTCTGCTCCTAGGGCACATTCTCTGTGGGTGTGGGCAGCTCTGCCAACAACCAGGAGAGGCAAATCCAGCAGTGCTGACACTGCTAAGAAGAAGTAACAAGGCTGTTTTCCAGCTGCAGGTCATCATCCAAAATTAGCAGTTACTCCTCTTCTGGCTCCTCAACAGCCATCCTCAAGTTCCCAGGTAATTATAAAGGCAGGCAAAAACTCTGTTTAGCAGATATCCACCTCCTTTCCTTGATCACTTCGCCCTAGCAGGAATATGGGCAAGGTTAAGGAGCAGAACGAGGCCAAGTGTGTACAGCTGGTACTGGTGGCTCAGCCACACAGCTGTCACCTCGTGCAGAAAAGCTCCCTGCAGGGCTCCAGGCACGATGAGCTCAGTACAAGTGTGACAAAGAAAGGGAGGTGGTAATAAGCCTAGGTAACAGGGAAGAGCCTGCTGCACAGGGACAAAGGGACAAGAACAGCAACTCTGCCAGCAAAGGAAGACTGCTAGGAGATCCTGGGCTGCAAGAAGCTTTGGGGGAAAAAAAACTAAACATAAAAATAGTCTCCAGAGGGCATGGCTCAGCTCAAACATCTGTTCAGCAGCATCATTAAGGGGCCCCGTAGAAAGGAACAAGATACTCAACATATGGCTCTGAAAGGGAGCTGGTGGCACAGTGACAGCCACTCAAGGCAGGCTGGGGCAGCCAGGACACTGCCACCAGTGCCACAGTTACCCAAGGACTTGGGGGTGGGGGGCTGGCAGAGCTCCTGTGAGTGACACTTCGTGGGGTTTAGATGGCTGCTGAGACGTGAGCACATCATGCTGCTGACCTAAAGGTTGGCTCTGAGTCCCAGACTCTGGAGACAGAAGAGGATGTGTGGTATTGCTTGGGTCAGCGCAACCCTCAGTGACAGAAGGCGGCCACATTCAAAGGATAAAAGGGGCCTGAAAGATGGGAAGAAGCGTGGCCCCAGTCAGACAGGTCCCAGCCATGAACCCAATGACCAACATGGTACATGACTGCAAGAAGTCACACGAAGTATCTAAAGCAGCTCCAACGTACACCAGCTCTTTTCTGGCTCAGCTGACTCACTCTTTACTTCCCAGAACAGGGAATTCGCTCCGGGTAGCAGTAGAGCCCCAACTGCTTTCTCCCTCAGACTGTGAGGAGCAACGGTATGGCTTGGGGATTAGCCCTGACCACACGGCCACACAGTGCAAGCCGAGGTGGCTGAGCTCTTCACAGCGTCCTCAAAAGACAAGGACCACTACTAGTTTACAAAGCTTCAGGTAGACAGTGGAAGGCTTTCAGGGACTTCAATAAGCGGTGGATCAGATCCTAAACCATTTGTCCAAGAGGATTTCTCTGTCATTGCCTTAGAAAATCTTTTTCCTTTCTCTTTACAGTGAAAAAATGATCCTTATGCCTAAACATTCTCTTGGCACCCCAGTGTTCATGTCAACTCCAAAACTCAGCAAGAGCTGGAGAAAGAATGAAAATCCCATGGGTGAAAATGACTTGCTCTCCAGCTAAAAGCAACTGGCTGACAAGAAAGCCAAAAGCAGCTGGGAGAAGTCAATTTAGTTTCTGAAACTCTCAGCTTGACAGAAACACCTGCACTAGCAGCACAGGACAGGAATCATTATTTAAACTGTTTATTTTACATTCTCAACAGGGTCTCTTTATACTTCAGTCTGTCCTCCTAGAGCAAGAATGAGCTCCAAATTCAAGCTCTGAGAGCAAGATCCTCCCCACCACCTCAAGTTCAGGGCACCAAGGTTTTGCCTAAACTCCCTCAGCACCTACATTGGAGGAGGGTGGGCTCTTCTAAGTACATTCAAACACAAATCTACCATCACTGCTTCAACTTCTGCAGAGCTCAGCAAGGTTATGAAACTGAAGTCAATTCAGCCAGGCAGCAAAGGTGCACTAAGAGATGCATAAGATGCACCTCTAGCATGGCGCAGGAGCTGAAAGAAAACACATCACCTCCAGCAAGGCGATGCCAGCACTTCACAGCATTACGGTTAAGAGGCAGTGATCACTTACCAACATATTCAGAGAGGAACACAACAAAGAATGGAGTGACCAGGTCATTGATTCCCTGTACATAGCCACTGGCTGGGTGTCGAATGGCCCATATAAACAGGATTCTTTCAAAGATCTAGGGAAGAATTGAAGGAAAGCAGGTACCTGCATTAGCCGTGCACAAAGGAGAGGCAGAAAAGCATAACTGCTAAGCTCAGGGAGCAAAGGTCATGCACTGACAGGCTCTTCTGCAGCAGTATGGTTAAGACAAGAAGATACCAGTCCTAAGAGATTCCAGCATGATCCACAGATCCCCACAAAGGCCAGCCCACTCTTTCCAGAGCAAGACAATCCAGAGTCCTCATCAAGACTGCTGCTTGAAGAGCCGACACCAACTTTCCAAGAGCTGCACATCTTGCTGAACATCACGTGGACAGCCAAGGCTGCTACCTGTGCTCTTTATCCATCAGCTGTCGGCGCAGCGCTCCCAGCAGAACGTCACAGATCGCAGGACCCAACAGAGCAGCCTCCAAAACCTACATATATTACTCCCAGCCAGCCCAGGACGTCATACTCTGACATACCACACACACACCGAGACAACAGATGCTCACACCTCCTGGCCACTTCTCCAAGAGCCCTACGTGATTTTCTCACACACCGCTTTGTGCAGGGGCGTTTTTGCAGTGAAACACAACTGATGTCCTGCTCTGTGTCAAATTCATCACATTTGTTTCAGAACAAAAGCTTCAGGACTATTACTAATTCTTGCCAGAAAAAAATGCTGACCTTGTAGCCCCTGGTCTTCAAGACTGATGTGTTTCAGAAAGTTGAGGACTAGACCCTGCAGCGTGAGCATGTATTTCCTGACCAGCTGGACGAGGTTTTGGGAGTCACCCAGGACATTTGGTCTGCAGAGTTACTCAGTCTAACGACACCGTCGGTCTAACTCTGTCCCCTTACCTCCTGGACAAGCGGCTGCTGAAAGAGGGGGATGAGTGGGTTGGTCCTTGGAATGTCGATGTGAATCTGGAAGAGAGCATGGGTCAGATACATCAGCCATGCTTTTAAGGGACACAATAACTCAACATGACAGAAGAGAATCCACCCTGCAGCGCCCCTCACACAAGAGCTGCACTTGCTGACGAGTGCTATGAGTGCTACAAATTACAGCCGCGCAGGGAAGTCACCTACAGTTCAGCATCCTTCGCTCAGAGATGGGCTGGGAAATGCAGTTATTTGCTCAATTCAGATGGGATTAGGGAAGGCCTAATCCAGTACTTGTCACTAACTTCTACCTGCAACTAACAGGTAGAAGTCCTGGTACGACCCCAACTCAAAAACACGCAGTGGCAAGGGGCCGGGAAGGCACGCAGGCGGCAGGTACCTGTCGGTACGTGTCCTGATGGTGCTCCTCATTCCGGGAGTCGTAGTACTGCTGGATGAAGCCAAAGTATTCCTCCCGCTTGCGCTGTAAGGTTAGCTTCCGACGCTCCATGTTTGCAGGGAGATAACCCTGCAGGAGGAAACCTCAGGGTAGCCCCTATTCCCTCACCACAAACCAACCTCTAAAGTCCTGCTGGGCAGCTGTGCACATGGATGCAGCAGATATGGGGAATGTGGAGCAGGGGAAGAGTAGTTGTGGCCTTCGGCTTTCCCACACTCTGATGCCTTTTCTAATCTGGTACAATCCAACTTTACAGGATTCAGTTTCTTGAAACAACAAGCCACATTCCCAGCACCTGCCCGGGGTCTGTGCTCAGGAGATGTAGCAATTACAACCCCTGACCAGAAAAATCCTACAGCTCTTTGGTAGGCTGGCCACAGGTACAACATGAGCAAAACCACGTACGGATTTGCTCCCATGAAGGCGCACGAATGCCCCAGATTCCCCCCAGCCTCCTGCATCCCAGCTCCAAGTACTCACTGAGAGGAGACGCCATGTCACAGGCCGGACCTCTCTGGGCACGCCAGGCCAGCTGCATTTCCTCAGCTCATCTGCAAACGGACAGTGGTGGCAATGGATTAGATCCTAGGCACGTCCAGGCACCACTATACCTAAAAGGAGAGGAAAGCCCAGTCTGCTCCTGCAAGCTCTGGAGACACTGAGCCTCCACGGAGCTCCACATTAGCAGTGACTGGGGATGTGGGTGTGTGGCTGGAGAGTGGGGACACTTGGCTCAGCACTGGGACTGGAGCACTGGCTGCCAGAATGCTAACCACTGGTCCCTTCTCAGTGGGGCTCAGTTCTCATGCAAAGCCCAACAGCCCCCTGTGACCACAACCATCACTTGTGACCAGAAACAGACTGGAAACACGCAGCTGCTGGAAGAGGTCATCATCTGCCAACACGCAAGTCATCTTTTTTCAGCCTGGAGTAGATAGTGAACCATGCTTCACAGAGGCAGCAGGCTTCCCTCTGCCTCCCCACCCACAGGCACCCATTACGCCACTCACCCAGGTCCGTGTTATGGCTGGAAAGGAGCTGCCGAAATTTCTCCAGGCGGGTTTTCTCCCTCACCGTCATGGGGGGAGCACCTGACGCATTCTGGTCGGAGATTCGGGCAACAAGTGGAATGACAGGCCGGAGGGGGAGGGACTGCTGCTTCTGGAGGGGCGTCCGCACACAGGTCTCCTCTGCACAGATCAGACACTGCGGTGAGGACGGGAAGGGGACAGCAGCTCTTCAACCCCACTGTGCTCCTCTGACTACCGCCACAGGCTCAGCACAGCAGGCAGCACCTCTCCTGCCCAACCCCAGCATACAGAGCACTGCTGGCCACTTGGAGAAGCAGCAACAGATCTCTGTGGACTGGCTAACCCATCACTTCCCCCATTTCCTTCCTTCCGCATCAAGATATCTGCCTGCCTTCCCCTATCAGATATGGGAGGACATGGGAAGGACAGAAGATGAGGCAGAAGGAAGCTGAGGGAACCCCAGAAAAACCAGCTTGCAGATATGCCCCAATGAGCTTCAGCCCAAAGAGTGAATAAGCTAACTGCAAGGTCCTCCACAGGGTCTCATCCTGACCTTGATTAAGAGCAGCACATGCTGACCAAGAATTTAATAGACTTTCAAAACTCCTCAGAATCTGTCTCTCTTCAAGGATCCTTGAAGACAGACATGTCTGTACCCACAATATTGAGCTCCAGAAGCTGCTCCTAAAGACAGCTCTTACCAGACATCCTGGAGAGCTGGGCCTCGCTGCTGGACTTGTTGACCTTGCAGTTGGTTTGCACGTCACTGAGAGCAGGCTGGGTCCTCTCAGGTTTCACCCGCATTTTGCTGTGGTTCTCCAGGACCTGTGCAGCTGTGGCCTTGGCCACTTTAGAGTTCAAAGTTTGCAAAGAGGAAGAAGAGGAAGTGAAGTCTTCATCTTCATCATCACCGATGTCCCAGGCATCACTGGTGCTGCGGGCAAACTCATGAAAGCTGGAGGCCTTCTTACTTTTCATAGGCAGCACGTTGGCTTTGGAGCGGTCCTTGATGAAGCTGGAAGCCAGAGAGAAACAATGTCAGAGCAGCACTGCTAGATAATCCACATGCTTTCCTTCACTGCTCCACACAGGCAGTCCCTGGCTTCCCCGGTTTCCTAGTTCCACCTCCAAAACCCCAGGGCACGCACTAAGCTCCTCGAGGCTGCCCAAGCTGGTATGATCTCAGGGCACAGAAAGCCACAGTGCCAGCTAACAGCTGGAGAGGTGCCAGCCTCCTCGGCTCAGAAGGGCAAACAAGAGAGACATACAGTTTCTCCAGCTCTGCTTCCTCCCAACCCACAGAAAACAGGCAGATGAATGCAAAAAGAAGTCTTGTGACCTGGAGAGAGGCATGCCAGAACCAGTCTATGCTCCTGGAAGCTCCTGGCACAGCTGTAGTCACTCCCAGCAGACAGACCAGGCTGTTTCTTTTCTCAGGTGCAGGAGGAGCCTTTCCATTTACCCTTAAGCAGCAGGAGTCAAAGTCCACCAGCTGAAGCGTCATGGACAGGAACGTTCACTGCTGCATGGCACGAGATAGGGACAAGGAGGCCACGCAGATCAGTGCTGCCTCTTCCTGCTGGGAAGGGTGCTGTGGTTGTGCTGCTGACCCTGCCTGCTGCCACGCCGCTTTACCTCGCCCTTCCCTCAGCTCTTCCCTATCCAGTAGGTGCAGACATCACTGCTAAAGAATGCATCTTCTCCCTACATTTGCCCAGTGCAGATCTCTGGCTACAAAGGCAGCAGCAGATAAGCTTTCCTGTGAACTTTCACAGAGCCCAGGACAGCACCATACTCCTTGTACAGCCCTTCTTGTACATCACAGCTGCACCGAAGAGCTCAGACTGCACAGAGCACAGGGGATGCACAGCGGGGCTGCCCTGGTACCATCTGAGTTTGCTCGGGAAATGTGAACGAAGCTGCTACATCATTTTTACATTCCCAGCAAAATGAACCAGTCCAATTAGGAGGGGATGGAATCACAGTGCCTGGGATGCTGGAGACTTCTACCAAGACTGAGCCAAAAAAAAAAACAAAGAAAGAAAAGCAAAGCACACAGGCTGTGCCTCCAGGAGACAAACTGCACTTACTTTTTGGTGAGGCGGGAATCCAGCGGAGGATGCTGTGCTCCATAGACAGGCTGAATGCTGCAGGGAGGGAAAAAGAAAGAGACAGTGCAAAATATCTCAGGGCACCCACGGATGGTCTGCTCAGCCTGGACTGGAGTAAGACCTCTTGCACGCTGTTGGGATCCAAATACAGACCAAAATCAACTCCTGTAAGCTTCTGCCTTCAAAACCTTAGATCCAAAGAGCCACAATTAGCTGAAGATTTGTTCTTTGCAGCAGCAGAGAGAAGCATTGTTTAAACTCCTAGGCTCTTTCCAGCCTGAACTGGGATTTGCTTCCTCGAGCAGAGATCTGCTCTCTGCTCATTTCAGCCACCTGCCACAAGCACTGACATTCATTCTCTTTTTCATCCAAAAGTTGTCTGGGTTAGAGAATCCACACCTCTGAGCCCTCCACAATCGGGAAGGACTCTATCCAGCAACACTGGGACTCCTCAGCACTGAGGGTTTGACCCCACACTGGCACTCAGGCTTGCAGCCAACGTTACAGCCAAGCAGCCTCCAGTACAAGGTTTGATGCAGGTCCAAATCCCAGCTTAACCAACCACTTCCTGTGTGGTCTGGAACAAGTCATGGCTCAGCCCCTGTGGAGCTGGACAAGTGCTCCAGGGCACAGAGAGCCCGGGGGCTGTTGGCACTGCAGGGGAGCACTGCCTCAAAAAGGAGCTAACAGACACCACTCATCGCTAGTTTTACAGGCTGAGCAAGTGAGACAGAGATCCTCAGTTATTACCTCAGTTTGGGAAACTATTCACAGCCGTGCCACCCCAAAAGTCACACTTGGATCTCTGGACACAACCAGCCCTCTGCAGCCCCACTACACAGCACAGCCCCACATCCCACGGCAGAGACAAGGGCAGGTTCAGAGCTGGCACACAAAGGACAGGCTTCCCTCAGGTCACTGGGGCTTTCCGGAAGCCTCAGATGGAGTCTGGCTGTGGCAGGGGGAAGATCACAGCCTGGTGCAGTTGGAGAGCCAGCAAAGGACAAGCGGGTGCCAGGGAAGTGACAGCAACAGGTCCATCTAGAAGGGAGAGGCATGGAGACCCAGGGCAGAGGCTGGGAACAGCCACAACACAGAGAGGCCAAAGAGGGGTGGGCTCCAGCTGCAAAGGGCGGCTGCTGGAAGTGCTGAAAGGCTCCCTGTGCTGGCACACCTCCAGTCAGGGCTAGCAAAGAGTCTTCTGAGTAATTAGCATTGAGGAGTCAGGGCAGCTATTAAACAGAGGCAAACTCACGGGTGGGCAGAGCAAAAAGATTATTGGGGTTAAAAAAAGCTGTTTCCAAATGACTCATGGCAGCTCCCCACAGGAGAGGAGCCTGCAGAGTCTTTCCAAGCTCACAACACCTTCTAACAACAGTCACAGCACTGCTCTTCCCTGTGAGGGGACCAGCATTGCCCAGGAACATCCACATGCTACCAACAGGTACACGACCTGACTCCCACATGAAGGGACGAAAACCACACGTGGGTTTGTGTGATGCTCATCAGCAAAATGAACAGTCAGAATAGGGGATGCGGGAGCCAGCAGTGCATGAAGAAATCCCTTCCTGATGCTCTGAAGTAATCAGATGCTGCTGCAGCTGCTAACGGCCGACACAACAACAGTGTTCCATCCCAGGCAGATCTTCTGTGAAGAGCCCAGGCTCCCACAGGGGAAGCATCCCAGGCTGATCCATTGCACAGCACATCAGCTGGAGCTCCCGCACAGGCAGCTGAAGGTGACAGGTACAGCTGAGTACCACCATCCCACATACGTTTGTATATAAATACATACATGTACATAAAAAGCAAGCTGGAAAGGAAGCAGGGCAAATACTCCGAGACATGCAACAGGTGACCTGAGACATGCACACACCTTCACAGCTGCCAGATGGCAACTTTGCACCACAGAACCTGAGCAGACTCAGTGCCTGGTCCTGCTCCTCCAGCTCAGCCCATCACTGACTCTCAGCGCATCTTAAAGTGCCTCACAAAGCTGCATCAGCAGATCCCACTGCTACAGCTCAGAAAACAGAGGCAGGGCAGCAAATGGCAACCAGTAAATACTTCATTTATTCACTCGCCTGGCTCTCCCTAGTGCATCATTTAGATGAACTGGCTGTCTCCAAGCTTAACTCTGACTTTTGCACACATGGAAAGCTCACGGCACCGTGTGTTAGCAAATACCACCGAGTCAGGAGTTGAGACCTGTGCTGATGCTGTGCTCCCAGACTGACAGCACAAGTCCCCTGTCCCACTTTAGAGCTCGGTGGGACAAGGTACTTCCCATCACCTCCCTACCCAGTGCCTGATGCAATCTGTGCCTGAGCTCTGCCGTGGAACCTGTGTTACACCTCTTAAGGGCAGATCGTGGCAGGGCTCAGGTTATGGGCACTGCAGCACATCTTCAGCATGTTAGGGCAACTGCAGAGACTGAAGATGTTTTATTCCCAGCAGACTCTCTCAGCTTCTCCCTTTTTTAAAAGAGCATTTAAACAACACACACACTGATGCCTTACTACTCAACTCTCTATATGGCAGGAAATAAACAATGCATCACATAGGACAGCACACCAGACCAACCTGCCAGCACACCCCAAAAGAATCCCAAGGTTGAGAACTCCCAGTGCAAAAGATGCAAGGAGACATGAAACAATTTATTAGTAAGAATTTCTGGAAAGGACTGGCACACAGAGCATACGGAACTGGTAACGAGCCTCCTCCACAACACAGGACAGGGTATTGCCATTGTCTGTTAGGAGGGGAGAGCTCTGACAAGCCTTGATGTCGAGCGCATTGTCTGTGCAGGAACTGCCTCCCAGACCGGTTCACCTGGTTTGAGCTTTCCAAACTGGCTCTAAAATCATCATCTGTGCAAGAGAGGTGCTGGCAGCAGAGCCCAGCACAACATCCAGGGATGGGATTGCAGGGACGCAGAGCAACCTGGGGACCGCAGAGCACCATCCTCCCAAAGGAGAGAGAGGAGGGATGCACAGTGCTCAGTGCTTTCTCTTTAGTTGCCACAAACTTAGGCTGCCTCTCCAGTCCAACGGATGTCACAGAATCATTAAGGTTGGAAAAGACCTTCAAGATCACCAAGTGCAACTGTCCCCTGAATAACAAAGGATGAGCCTATGGGGAATCCGCTGAGCTGGGACGGCTCCTCGGTTCCCTCCACCTGCTTTGAAAAGGCCCCAAAGGCAAAGGCACAGCGGAGCCCCACAGCTGCACTGCAGACCTTGCTGGGAGGGAATTTTTCATAGGCAATCCCAAACCTAATCGCCCCCGCAACCAGCTAAGAGCACCAGGAGGGGAAGGGCAAGCTGCAGACGAGACTACTGAGCGTAAACGAGGTGCAAGGGAGGACCAGAATTGCGGGCGTCCCCAAGGGGTGCTCTGCTCTGCCCACACGGCCGCTCAGGAACCTTCCTCGCCCCTCTTCCCCCCCCCCCCACTTCCTACCCGAGGCCCGCTTCCTACCGGGCGCCGCTGTTTCTCCTCCACCGCCACGAAGGCCGCAGCAGGAGGGGAGCGTCCACAGCCCAGGGCCCCCAGCGCGGCCTCAATCGGGAGAGCGGCACCCCCAAAGGCCCCACACGGGGGGAATCGCCGAAGACTCAGACCCGTTCCTCCACTACAGCCCGCGGGGCTCCGGCCACGCGGGGGGCACACACGCGGCCCCCGCAGCCAGGGTGGCCCCAGGGAGCCCAGCCCCCCTCACGAGCCCCCAGCCCCGGGGTCGTTACCCGCCCGGACCGGGCCCGGCTCACCTGCCCGGCAGCTTGGCGCTCCGCTTCCAGAACTGCCGCCCGCTCTCAGCCGCCATAACGGAGCTACGCAGGGCCGGGCCCGGCGGCCAGCCAGACAGCGGGCCCACCGGGCCGGCCGGCCCCGCGGCGCAGCGGCGGAGCGCGGAGAAGGCGGCGCGCCCCCCCACACCCAGACCGCCTCACCACTGCCCGCCCGCGGCCCCTGGCGGCGCCATCTTGGATGAGGGAGGGGAGAGAGTCGCCATTGGCCGCTATGCTCCAGGCCTGGCGGCTCAGCCAATAGGAAGTGGGAGATGGCGTGACGTTACGGCGGAGGAGGGCTGGGGTGGGGCTGCGGGCACAGGGAGAGACCATTCCGCCCCGCGTGGGGGGGGGGAGCGGGAGCGCTCCATTAGCACCGGGGGGGAAGACGGGAAAACCCACCCACCTCACGAAAGGGAGGGCGGGGAGCGTTCAGCACCGCCCTGAGCGGAAAGAGCCAATCTCGTAGCGCGGGAGGAAACGCGCCAGGCGGGCACCTGATTTCTGAGGGCGAAACCATCGGGAGGAGGCGGGGGGCAGCGGGTTAAAACCGGGGGACAACAGGGGGCGGTGGCGGAACGAGCGGCGGGCCTTCTGCGCGGCTGCTATGGTCGCCGGGGCAGCGCCGAGGATTTCGGGCCGTTTCCAGTCCCGACGGCCCCGCGTTGTCCCCGAGGTCCGGAGCGCAGTCACCGCACGCTCAGTGAACGGCCGCCGGGTGGCCGCAGAGCCGCCTCCTGGAACCCCTCGTGGGGCCCTTCGAGCGATGGGGGTGCTCCAAAAGGGGGGGAAAAACGCATAATTCTGCACAAAAGCGCGCGTTTCTGTGTAAAAAAAGCGCATGTTTCTGTGCCAAAGCGGCCTATTTCTGTACAAAATCAGTTTCTGGAGGACAGCAGAGGGCGGCACAGCTCCGCACCCCGCGCTGCTGGAACCCGGCTTCGCTCTGCTCGCTGCTCCCGCGCGGGATGCGGGGACGTTTCGGGTCCGGCAGCTTTCAGTTCCGAGCGAGATCGAAAGCTGAGAGGAGATTCGGTTCCTTTTCCCGTCCCGAGGCTGAAGCGGAGAAAGGAAACTTCGGGCTGGTAAAAAATACGTCGAGGCTCCCAGCTGCGGATCGCTGCCCTCCGTCAGCGGGCCGGGCGGTGCTGCGGACACTGGGCCGCGGGGCGCCCCGCCGTGCGCCGCGCACGGAGCTCGTGGTCGCAGCGTGTCTACGAGATGTGTGCAAGTTTGGGTGCGAGGGAAAGGCTCTGCCTCAGCGGGCACGGCGCAGCTCCGCAGCGTTAGGACGGCGCTCAGCCATAGGGTCGGGATTCGGGTAGGGCTGCGTGGGGTTGGACTCGGGGATCTGTGAAGGATCTGACGTGGGATTTTCTGCGGTCCCGACCCGCTTTGAGGCACGTGCACAGAGCGGCGGTGGTGTCCGCGAGGACTCGCAAGCTGGCGGTGGGAAGTTTGGAAGCTCAGCGTTCTTACACCGGGAAATGGAAAGTGTCCGGGGTGTCAGGGAGAGGCTGAGCGTGGCACAGACTCTTCCGGTGCTGCAAAGCCCCTTCCGGTGCTGTTGTCCCCTCCACCTGTGCAGGGTGGGTTTGCTTTGCTGTCTCTCCACAGCCAGAGCAATCAGTCTTTCTCAGAAATCTCCCTCCTGCTTTTCGATGGCGATTCACAGGTCGTCTTCACGTGATTCATTCATTCCCTGGCTTTATCAGAGAGTTTGGAAACACCTTGGAGAAGAAAGCATGGGGAGGTGCTCATCAGCTCCATTCTGCCCCAGAAGAAGGGATGGGGGATGAAAAGAAGCCAAGGACAAAATCCAAGCATCTTAGCTTTTTGCTGGCAACGGCAGCCAACCTGAGCCAAAGCCATCCAGATCACCTGCTTAGGGAGGATTACGTACATTCAAGCAGGCGTGGGTCCTCCTCTACCCGTGCACGTGTGCAGCAGGAACAGGCTATGAGCAGTGGCATGGGGCAGTTTCCATTGGGGTCACCACTGCTGTGTGCAGGCCCTGCCTGCGCTCCTGGGGGGGGAAAGTCTGAAGAATTTCAGCGTGGGTTGACCTGAAATGACATTTTGCTGCTTCTGTTTTTCTCACAGCCTTCTCAGTGGGGTGAGATCTCTGTTCCTGCAACCCGCTCTCCCTTCAAACGCTGATGTGTGCCTGTGTGTCATTTCAGGTTAACTGAACTGGCTGCTTGGGTTTGAAACGAGAGCTGTTTCAGTTTTCGGGTCGCTTAACACCCTCCTAACTGTAACAAACACAGTGATTAAAAACATGAAAAATTACCCTGGAGGAAGGGGAAAAGCTTGGAAAAGGATGAAAAACACTCTGATTACCCCCTTACAAATATTTTTCTTTAGCTGAAGTTGCTAAATTTGACTCAGCTTTACACACTGGAAAGGTTTTGCGGTGTGTGGGTTTTTCGGTTTTTTGTTTTGTTTTGGCGTTTTTTTAATATGGTGAATAGAGTGTTTCTTCCTTGCAAAAACCCCCACCAACTCTCAGCCCGGTGATGCAGTTTCAGTGTGTCACGGAGGCAGCGTCAGCTCGGGCTCCATGTTGGTAAGGTTGGTGCAAAACCCACAAGGCTTCAGGTGCCTGAAACCTGCACCTGGGGTCACAGCACGGGGTTTTTCCAGAGCTATGGGAAGGGACATCTCCCCCCACTTTGTTCATTTTTGCCAGGGTTGAGATGAGTTCAGGGCTTTGCCCTCAGCTCCCGTACCTGGGGGACTTGGGGACATCCCTTGATGGCCAGTCCCACCCAAAGAAAGGTGCTTATGCTGCTGGGACACTGCTGCCTGTGGTCTCATCTTGCTCGTTGGCTGCAAGCTCCTGGCACCCATAAATAAACCCAGGAGCCTCTTGCTGCGCACTTTCTCCTGGGTGACATTTCCCTTGTGGGAGTGATAGGGCAGGAAAAGGCTGAGCCCTGCTCTTAAGCTCCGCCACAAAATGTCTCCAGCAAACCAGTGTGCCGTGCCTCAGTTTCCCCACACACCCCATGGAAATGATGCTGTTGCCCACAGGACTTTTGCAAAGCGCTGGGAGATCAGTGTTCACAGTGCTTCATTACCAGGGAGCCGTGGGACCTGCTGCTCATTCCTCTCATCCTAAGGCGGGGGTTTAAAATAGCTCCTGTGACTCACTGTGCCCAGAAGGGCCCAAAGGTGCCACCTCCAAGCCCGCGTGTGCGTTTCCAGCACGTCTGGATGCTGCTCACCTCCCATTTCCAGGAAGTGATGCGATAAAGAGAGTTTGTTGCCTTTGCTGTGGCTGAGCACCGTGGCTGGATATGGGAAGGCAAAGGTGTGTTGAGTGCTGACCCTCTGCAAGTCTGCAGCTGTCCGTTCAGCCCCAGATCTCAGAATTGGATGGCATGAAGACTTGTCCTGCTCCTGTTTCATCCTTTTTGGTTTTTGCTCTTGTGAGGTTGGAGGTTAGGATTCATTTCTTCTCAGAAGGAGCGGTGATGCATTTTCACAGGCTGCCCAGGAACATGGTGGGGTCACCATTGCTGGAGGTGTTCAAGATGTGGGCACTGAGAGATGTGGTCAGTGGGCTTGGTGTGCTGGGGTTGGACTTGAGTCTTTTCTGACCTTAATGATTCTATGATGTAAAAGCAGCAGGAACGGCTAGACAAGTAATAAAACATCCATCATCTCCAACCCAACCCTGCTGTTCTTGTCTGGGAGAAGGGAAACTTGCCTACTGCGACTGGAACATTCAAGGTCCCTCATAACACAAACCATTCTAAGCTACTGACTTCGGGTCTCCCATCTCCCTACTCCTAGAGGTGCAGGACACGGATGGACCTGACGGCTCTTGGCTGGATGAAGGCACCAGCAGGAGGGAAAGCTGCAGCGCAGGCACAGCGATGGCGGATGGGATCACCAGCGGCAGACGGAAACGCCGCGGCTATCGGCGCTCCGAGCAGCGCCGGACCAACTCGGCCCTTTTCTAAGAAACGCCGCAGCAGTTGTGAGCGTTTACGGGAAGGGTGGGCTGTGCTCAACCCGGGCAGCCGCGATAGTGCAGGGGGAGGATGCGGCGCGGGGGCTCTGCGCTGCTCTGCTTTCGTGTAAGAGCTGCTTCCCGGATGGTCCGGAGGAAAAGCGAGAGGGGAGGTTCAGCGCAAACCGCATCTCTAAATGGGGCTGAACTTTGAAGGCATTCGGAGCAGTGCTTCCTGCTCTGAGCGGCCTCAAGGAGGAGATGAAAGATGCAGCTGAGCAGGGAAAAAAAAAGCTAAACAAACGGAGTTGACGCTTTGTGCAGAGGGGCAGCAGTGACACAACACGTGAGTGCATCCAGAGCTGGGACAGAGCTCTAGGGACCCCGGTTCCCAAAAAGCAGCTGTACTTAGAGAAGAGAGCACAGGGAACGGGGTAGGAACGCTGTTTTTAAGCATAAAACGTGTGGCATAAACCAAGGAGTGACCCAATTGGGTTGAGCTGGGGGTCTTGCAAAGTAGCTTGCAGACTGCTCAGTGCCCTGTGGCAGGAGCAGGCACAATGGGTGATGGGTGTCCTCCAAAAGCAGCACGGTGCCAACAGCTCCGTAGTACCCGAGTGCCAACATTCTCATGACATCAAATGAAACAAAACAAAACCTGACCAACAGCCCCGCAGCCAAAGCGTTGCAGAGCTGGGAAGTGGGGTTTGGCAGCTCAGAAAGTGTAACACAAGCGAAGCGTCACTGCTGCCGACCAACAGTAACCGACTTCCCGTAAACTGGCCACGAGCCTCCTCTGGGGCTGGAGGTGGGGGCAGCACGGCAGCTGCCTGCACCCTGTGCAACACCAACAGCACCCACACAACACCAACACCCACCGCGCCAACAGAGCCGGAGCAACAGGCTCGGCAGTGCCCGAATGTAATTGGGCTGACAACATCCGGTGTTTCGCAAGCTGGCTTTGATGTCTGTTTACTCCCCATCCCCAGCACATGCTCCTCAGCGCCCTGCAGCAGACAGGAGGGCTCTGCACTGCTTTGATCTCTCCCAGACCTGCGGGGAATGGTTGGGCTGAAGACACCCCGAGGCTGTGCTGTCCCACGGGGCCCTGGGCTGGAGCCTTTGGGGCTGGGCTGTGTCCTGCTCTCACCTCTGTTGGGATGCTGCAGCCCCGTGGGGGGTCAGCACCCCACTTGCTCCCACTTCTCTCCATCCCACCCCGCAATAATAAAGGGATGCCTCTGTTCCACGATTTTCTTTTTATTTAAAACCGCATTGTATAAAAAAAATAGGATTTCTGAATTCCCCTGTACAATTTTAACTATTAACAAAAACCCGCCAGCGACACACAGGTTGCATGGAGACAACAGCGCTCTCTGCCAGCTCAGCCCAAAGAGTGCATGGGCACACAGCCCCCCCCCGCCCCAAAAACCCCAAATCCATCCGTGATGTGGGACAGACACATGGACACAGAGCGAAATCCGACCAGGCACCGGGGCTCAGCAGCTGCAGAAGCAAGGCGTGGGTCGGGGACCCACGTGGGTTATAAATAAATAAATAAGTTATCCTCCTGGCTCAGGCTCCTCCTTGCGAAAACAAAACAAAACAAAATAACAAAAATATCCACAAAAATAAATTAAAACTTGGATGGGGAATAAAAAAGGGCAAAAACATTACCATTATTAACAACTGTACACCAAGCTTTGCTCCTGTATAATAACTCTGTACACGCATTTACAGCTCTGTTGGGTTGCATTGTTTGTGCATTGGGAAGCAGAGGGCTCAGGGAAGGCATCGCCGCAGGGCTCTGAGCTCCTCCTGACCTGCTTCCTTCTGGGAAAAGTAGCTCTGCACCCAGGTGAGGCATGGAAAAGCAGCAGTGTAGGAAAATTCAAGTATTTCCTCCAGCACAGCCCACGTCACAACTGAAGGCACTCGAAGATGGTGACGGCACACAGACCAGAGCACCTGCCCTGCCCTCCCCAGACAGCCTTCCCCCCATTGAAGCTTTTCAGAGTTCCAATCCTCTCATAGTCCCAAATTCAGCAGGCCAGGAAGACTCATGGGAGCCCCCAGAGACAGAACCAAAACCCCAAAGTTTACTGAAAAAAACATCAAGTGAGAAAGGACCACTGAGTCCAGCTGGGATCCAACCTCCAGGTGAGTTTGGCTCCAGAGAACTGCACGGCGCCGAGCGATGATCTCCACTCAACCCCACAATCCCAAGACAACGGTCCATTCCTTACGGGAGACACCAGAGATGTTATTTGCCCGTCTCCTGGAGCAGGCTGTGCAGGTGGATCTCTGCCGCCTCCTGGGACAGGTGGACACTCTGCATCCAGGAGTGGTTGGAGATGTCCTCGAAAGACGGCCTGTCTGAGGGGCGCTGGGAAAGGCACCACCGGATGAGATGTTCGCACTCTGGGGACGCAAAGCAGCGGTCAGCGTGGCGGGGGGCACTCAGCGCCGCGCCCAACCTCCCCGTCCATCCACCGCGTGCCGGAGGACCGCAGGACACCGAGAAACGCGCCACCCCCTCGAGCTCCCCAAAGGGTGACAGGAGCCCTGCGCTGCTGCCTCTCCCGTCCGGTGCCCACCTGGAGAGACCCTCTGCCTGAAGAACACCTGGCCGCGCAGGATGTCCTCGTCGTGCTCGAAGGGGATGTCCCCGCACACCATGTCGTACAGCAGCACGCCCAGGGACCACACCGTTGCCGAGCGCCCGTGGTACCGGTGGTAGCGGATCCACTCCGGCGGGCTGTAGACCCGCGTGCCTGCAGAAAACGGCCACTTTTGTCCCCAAGCCCCTTTTGGGGATGGCAGAGACGCGCAGCCCGCGGTGGGGCCGGGTGGTGGCGGGGGGTCACCGGGCGTCACACCACCCCCGCCAGCACGTGACTCTTGTTTACAAACTTTGGGTTGTAAAATAAAGGCGGTGGGGCCGGAAGGTGGCAGCACGGGGTCGGGGAAGGCCGGGACCAACCGTTACATGCAAAAAATAAAACTCCCGAGGGAGGGGGGAAACCACACCTTCTTCCCACCCCTTTGCCAAAAGAAAAATTAAATAAAAATTTAAAAATAATTTTTAAAAAAGCAAACAAGGAGAACAGAGCCATCCTTCTGTGATGCACGCCAGGTTTTGCAACCTGTCGTCCCGTGTCCCCCCAGGAGCTGTTTGTTTTTGTAGGGTGCCCTCCCCCGCCCCAGCCTGAAGCTTTGGTTGGGCGCTCAGGCCGGGAGCCGGCTCCCCTTTCACAACACCGAGTGGTGCCAAACACTTTGCGGGCAGCTGAATAACGCCACATTTCCACCCCCACCTTCCCACGTTGCTGCACAGAGGGGGGATGCCTCCGGCACACGGCGATGTCTCACCATCAAAATCAGTGTAGACGGTGTCCTTGAGGAGGGCACCGGAGCCAAAGTCGATGAGCTTGAGCTCGCCGGTGGCGAGGTCGATGAGGATGTTCTCGTCCTTGATGTCGCGGTGCAGCACGCCGCGGTCGTGGCAGTGCTGCACGGCCTCCAGCACCTGGCGGAACAGCTCCCGCGCCAGCTCCTCTGCCAGCGCCCCCCGTTCTGTGATGAAGTCAAAGAGATCCTGCACCGGTTCCGGCCGCTCCAGCACCAGCACGAAGCTGTCGGGTCGTTCAAACCAATCGAGGAGGCGGATGATGCCGCGGAAATCCGTGCCCACCTTCTTCAGCAGAAGGATCTCCATCGGCACGCGTGTGCCACTGGGCTGCGGGGACGCCGGTGCTATCAGCGCCAGGTCCCTTGGTGCGTCCCCCAAAGCCAGGGATGCTCCCTGCCCCATCCACCATCTGGATATCCCAGTTAGCCCCGGCCTGGGATGCTCCAGTGCCCTCAGATCAGGGATATTCCAGTGGTTCCCCTTGGCATCCCACAACCAGGGATGCTCTGGACCGCCCCACTCCTACTGTCCATAAAACCAAGGATGCTCCGGATTCCCCCAACCCATGTCTCAGTCCAGGGGTGGTCTGGATACCCCCCAGTGCCTTAAAACGAGGGATGCTCCGACCCACCCCCCCATACCCCCAAACCAGGGACGCTCCCAACCCATCCCCCCATAGCCAGGGATGCTCCATCCTCCGCGCACCCCTCCGACCAGGGATACTCCAGCGTTTCGTCCCCCCATCCGCACGGCCCCCCTTTCCCCGTCCCCCGATGCTCACCAGCTCGCCCCACTCGGAGATGCGGTCCCTCGCCACGTGTTTGATGGCCACCTGCGGGGCGACGCGCGGCGCTGAGCGGGGCCGAGCCGGGCCGAACCCCGCTGCCCGCAACTCACCCCGCACTTACCGGGGCGCTGTCGGAGAGGCGGATCCCCGAATAGACGGAGCCGAACCCCCCGCTGCCCAACAGCGGGCCCACCTGGTACAGCTTCTCCAGCGGCTCCTTCTCCTTCCCTGCGGGAGGAGCGCGGCGTCAGCGCTTCCCCAACCCGAGCCCCACACCGCATCGCCTCGCACCGCCGCGCGGCGCCTCACCTGCGGGCAGCTTGGCGGCGTGCAGCTCTGCGCCGGGCCCGGAACGGAGGTGGGCCAACGAGTTGATTTTGGAAAGCAGCATCCCCGCCGCCGCGCTCCGGCTGCAGCCCCGCCCGAACAAACCCGACCCAGGCGGCTCGGGCAGCCCAGCCCGGCTGAAGGCGGGCGGGGGATGGCGAGCCGAAAGGAGGAGGAAAAAGAGAAGGTGGAGGGAGAGGGGGTCGGGGGGGGGAAGGGGGGCGCCGCGGGGCGGGCACGGCGCGACCGCTCCCCACGCTGCCGGGCTCTCGTGTGGCGCGCCGGCCCCGCGCCGGCCGCGGGAGTAGCGAGAGGCGGGGGCGGGGCCGGGGAGAGCCGGGCGGCGTGGCCTCTGCTGGGCGCGCCGATGGGACGCCCCGCCCGCTCGGCCGCTCCTCAGCCAATAGGGCGCGTCCCGCGCGGCGGAGCGACGGCGGCGGGCAACGACGTGGCGGGAAGGAAAAGGCGCCAAAGGAGCCGGGGAGGGAGGGGGGCGCCGCCGCCGTCGTCACGGGCGAAGGGAGCGCGCGGGTGGCGGGAACGTGGGGAGCGGCCCTGCGGGGCTCCGGGGGGAGGGGCGGGGCGCTGTGCGGTCAGAGCACCGGGCGGAGGGGGGGCGAAAGAACGCGGGGACCCAGAGCTCCGTGAGTGGAACGGAGGGTTACGAAGGGAACGGCGGCTCGCGAGGAGCAGCAGGGCGTTGCGAGGGCAGCGCCGCGGGGAGTGGCCGGACACGGCTGTGGAGGTGACGCCGCCCGTAGAGCAGGGAGCGGGCGGCGGCTCCGCCCAGCCCCGCGCCCCCCGGCAGCGATTCACACAACGCCGCCGGCTGCGCCCCCCGCGCGGCGCCCCCCCCCCGCCCTTCGCCGTGCCGGAACGGGCGCTGAGCGCCGGCGCTTCCCGTCCTCATCGCGGGAATCCCCCAAGGCAGCTGCAGCTCTTCGTCTGTTCACGTTACGTTTCGCGCCCCGGCTCCCCCCGCGCCGTCCCAGCCTTTACTTCATCCCTTCCTTCACAACCCGGGCGCCTGAACTTTTCCCTTTTCTAGTAAAAGTGGAGGTTCCCGCTGGGGGCTCTTTGATTAACAGCCTTTCTTTTATCCTTTCCTTTTTTTTTTTCCCGCAGAAGTCGCAGCCCGAAATGCTTCGCCGACTTCCAGAGATAAGATAAATAAAGCCCTGGATGGAGGTCTCTGATTACTCACGCTGTTACCACGCGGAGCAAAGAGCCGCGGCCGCCGCTCCAGACGGAGCCCATCTGTGCCCGAGCGGCCCCGAGGAGTTCCCAGCATCCCACACATATTTGTGGGATGAATTGCCGAAATTGAATGGGTTTTACTGGAAGTGCTGGTGAGCGCCGGGCTCGTTTCTGTGTTTCTTTTAAAAGGAAGCACTCCGGGACGGCGCCCGCCCCACTCTGCCGCCGTGCAGGAGATGCTCACTGCCTCTTCGGGGCTCCCGGGGGATGCAGAACGTCCCCCGAGGGCTGAGAACACCTCAACCTGCCGGCGTTTGCGTTTTGATTAAGTGTGGAGAAATCTGACACGGCGACCTCCCTCCCTTTTGTTGTTTTTTATTATTATTGTTGTCATGTGGGGGTGATGCAAGCTCGGGGTGGAGCAGGGCTGCGTTTCTCCTGCTCTATTCCCCACCCGAAGCCTGGGCAGGTTCGGGATGACCGGTTCTGCCAGTCCTCCATGGGACCGCCTGACTCAGCACCCGGCCCCAAACTCATTGCCGGATTCCTGATGGTGAAAGGTGCCACCAGGCCTGCCCTGGAAACGGAGACTCTTTATTTACAAACAAGGCTCGCCCTGGGAGCAGCAGGGCTTTCCTGGGGGCCGCCTTCCCTGACCTCCTCCGGGCCTCTTCCTCGCCCTGCCCAAACCACTCCTTAGCATCCAGGGGAGCAGCACGTCTTGCAACCCGGATGATTTGGGGCCAGCTCATCGCTGTGCCCAAGCACTGAGTTCCCAGGGCCTGAGTCAGTGGCGGCTCCTCCTGCGGGTGCGGAGGGCTGGCAGCTCTGTCCCAGAGGTGAAGGGAAG